AACTGTCAGCCTAAGACTTTGCATGCAAACCTCATCTCAGCCCGTGAGACAGTTCCCTTATCAGGCAGCTGATGGGTTTAGTTTGGGCTTAGGACAGATGACACTTCCAGCTCCCCCCACCCACCACCACAATACCTCACTTCCTCCTTTTGGACCTGATAACCGCCTACTCAATCCCAGAGCAAGGAAAGGAGTAGCTGAGCTCCATGTAAATGCAGGTCCTAAAGAGCAGGGGTGGGCAGGGGCTGTCAGAGTGCTCCACAAAACGAGATGCCTCTGTGTGACCCTGGGGAGCAGCGGGGAGGGTGTAGGCTCAGCTCTGCTCCCCACACTTAGAAAGTGGGCAAGGGAGGAGGAAGAACAGGAACATGGGGTCTCAGGGCCCTGGGGCCCTGGGCCTTAGGATTTACTCCCTGTATCCTTCTGGAACTAGTTTGCCTAGAGCCTGGAGGAAGCGAGGACAGGCAGTGAGGCTTCTCCAGAGGAGGAAGGACTGCGCTCCCTTGTCCTGCTGATCTCACTCAGTTCGCTTACCTCGGCAGCCTGTCACAGAGTACACAGTATGACCTCTTTTCTCTCAGTCCTTTGTTGCCAACACCACCCGCTGCTGATAAGCCTTCATAAGGCCTGAAGCTTGACAACACTGGAAGGCTTGGAGGTGAAAAGCTGGATGGGTCAGGGGTCCATGGAGAGATGGGAGTCTGCTAAGGCTGGAAGGCATCCCTCTGAGCCCAGATGCTCCCTATTCCCAGCACATGGTCCTTTGTGTGAGGCAGGGAGGGGGGAGAATTAGTATTCAGATTTGATTCTTCTTTAATGGCTACTATTGTTAAGGTGAAGGAATCAGGGAAGGCTTTTATTCAATGCCTGCACCTCCTATCTTGTTTCCTGTCATCATCTCTCCTGTATCTGAATATTCTAGCCCCATCAGTCAGATCCAAGAATCTAAGGCCAAGAGTAGTCTCACTTTTGAGCTGGCTGGTTTTCTCACCTTTTGCTATTGCCTTAGGACTCAACAAGTCATGCCTTTGGATGTAACTGTCTTCCCTGAGTAAGGGCCCACCTCTTCAGCTTGTCTGCCCAACCTCAAATAGCAAAGCCTTGTGGATGGATGGAAAGCATGGGCTGGCTGCTGCTCCCTGCCCCTAATCCAGCTTTACACTCATTTGGCAAACACTCACTAAACCTGTGTGTCACAAAGCTCCACAATAGGCACTCAGAGGAGCAGCTCATCTCCAGGGGAGACAGAGCCTGGACATAGGCACTCGGAGAATGGCCTGGATGCCCGGAAGAGACTCACTGGCCACTCAGGATGAGGTCAGGGGAAGTGTCACCGAACATTTGGAGAAAGAGGGGGCTGACGGCCCTTCCAAAGTGTTTGTCAAGCTGATTGGATACGATGGGTATACAGGTCCTGGGCATTGTACTACCTAGCATTGTTCCCAGTAGACCCTTCTGACCAAAGAGCAGAAACATTGCCCATACGTGAACATCAAGGCAGTCGACAAACCTAAAAACTACCATAAAGGCTTTGTTCCTGTCCCAAAGGAGAAGGCACAGGGCGAGTGGCAGGCTGACTCAAGCACCAAGCACTGGGAAAAGTAGGAAGCTATGGTCACAGACTCCACCCTTTGCCCTGGCAGCCTCCCTCACTTCCTCAACCCTCTTCATCACTTCTCCTCCCAACATGTCTCCTCTCGTCTCCACAGCTACCTGCTAAGTTGTACAGGGTGCTCTTCTGAAGAGGCCGAGAGGAGGGGAGGGGTGGCATCTGGTTTGTCCTGTGACCTCTCTTGAGAAAGGGTTGATGCCCAATGGGGTCCTTCATGCCAGTCCAGTTTTGTCAAGGACTCCACCACACAAGTCACATGGAGTTCCTGTACGGAGACTTTGTGGCTAAGACAGCCTACACCAACAGGACTTGGAAATCAAGTGTAATGGAGACAGAAATGAAAAGGGCAAGAATATGTACCAGGAATGATTTGAGAGGGTGACTTCTATTCCCAGTGCAGGGTTGTGAAGCATGAAGTAGAGAGGGGAAAGGAAGAGCCTTTGGCCCTGCTTGAGGAAAGAATTATACAAAAACCTTTTAAATATCTATCCAACAAAACTTTTTTGGTATATTTTCTTTTCATTTAATTTAAAATGAAACAATTGCATGCACATGATTTAAAAATTAAATAGAGCCCTAGCTGGTTTGGCTCAGGATAGAATATCACCCTACGGACTAAAGGGTCCTGGGTTAGATTCAGGTCAAGGGCACATGCCCGGGTTGCATGCTAATCCCCACTAGGGGGTGTGCTGGCCACTCAGTATATATTAGAGGCCTGGTGCATGAATTCGTGCATGGGTGGGGTTCTGCCAGCCTTTTATTATATAGGATATACACTGAGTGGCCAGATTATTATGCATACAGAGATCATAAAAGTCTGGCCACTCAGTGTATATATATCTAAACAATGTATTATTTAATTTTGTATGCTTTTAATGTTATAGTTGTAATTATTACGTGTATTTGTGTGCAACTGCTTTTTTTAAAGTGAAATTCACATAACATACAATGAGTCATTTAAGTGTACAATTTGGTGTACTCATGTGTTGTGTGGCTACCAGATCTCTCTACTCAAGACTTTTCAAAAGCACCCTGTACTTATCAAATAATCACTCACCATTCTCTCTTGCCTCAGCCTCTGATAACCACTAATCTGCTATGTCTATATATTTGCCTTTTCTGGATAGATCATATAAAAATTGTTTTTTTGTGCCTGACTTCCTTCACTAAGCATAATGTTCTTGAAGTTCTTGCAAGTTGTAGCATGTATTAAAACTCTGCTCCCTTTAATAACTGAATAATATCCCATTGTATAGATAAACCATAATTTGTTTACCCATTCATCCACTGATAGACATTTGTGTAGTGTCTACCTTTTGGCTATTGTGAATAATGCTGCTATAAACATGTGTGTACAGGTTTTTGTGTAGACATATGCTTTCATTTCTCTTGGGTATCTACTTAAGAGTGGAATTGCTGGCTCATATGGAATTGCCAAACTGTTTTCCACAGCAACAAGGCAATGATCTGCTGGCCTTATCACATACTCACCCAGTTCATGGAACTGCAGGAGAGCTATGAAGACTTAGTTTTGACTCTAGTTCTAGCAAAATAATGAATTAAAGATATCTAAAAACTCTCTGACTACACATAGACACAAAGAACAGACTGACAGCTATAAGAGGGAAGGGCATTGGAGGATTGGGTGAAAAAAGTGAAAGGATTAAGAAAAAACACACACGCCGAAACCGGTTTGGTTCAGTGGTAGAGCGTTGGTCTGCGGACTGAAAGGTCCCAGGTTCGATTTCGGTCAAGGGCATGTACATTGGTTGTGGGCACATCCCCGGTAGGGGATGTGCAAGAGGCAGCTGGTTGATGCTTCTCTCTCATGGACGTTTCTAGTTCTCTCTCTCTCCCTTCCTCTCTGTAAAAAATTCAATAAAATATATTTTTTTAAAAAGAAAGAAAAGAAAACACACAAACAGCCGAAACCGGTTTGGCTCAGTGTATAGAGCGTCAGCCTGCGGATTGAAGGGTCCCAGTTTCAATTCCGGTCAAGGGCATGTACCTTGGTTGCGGGCACATCCCCAGTGGAGGGTGTGCAGGAGGCAGCTGATCGATGTTTCTCTCTCATCGATGTTTCTGACTTTCTATCCTTCTCCCTTCCTCTCTGTAAAAAATCAATAAAATATAAATTAAAAAAAAAAAGAAAGAAAATACACACACACAAAAACAAACACAGACAACCGAATAGTGAGAGCCAGAGGGAAAAGGGTTGGATGGAGAGGGAAGAGGGCAAAGAAGGGATAAATGGTGGCGGAGAAAGACTTGACTTTGGGTGGTGAATGCAAGATGCAGTATGCAGATGATGTATTGTAGAGTTGTACATTGAAACCTGTGTGGTTTAATTAACCTATGTCACCCGATAAATTCAATTTTAAAAAGTCTAAACTACATAAATAAATACTCTCCTGCTACAAAAATTCAGAACTGCTGGTCAAAACATAGTATTAAGTTTTTTAAATTGTATTTATTTTTGAATATGTATAATATGGCATACAGGCCAAAGGGTACAAAAATATATGAAAAGAAACAATCCATCCCTCCCTAGTTTTCTACCTACCCAGTCTCTTCCCCCCGCCCCAGAAGCAACTATTTACTATTCCTATTGTCTGTCTATCCTTCATATATGTATATGTTTTATATACAATACATATATGAAGGAGAGAGAGAGAGGGAGAGAGAGAGAGAGAGAGAGAGAGAGAGAGAGAGAGAGAGAGAGAGAGAGAGAGAGAGAGAGAGAGAGAGAGACAGAGAGAGAGAGAGAGACAGAGAGAGAGAGACAGAGACAGAGTTTTTTATAGAAACTATTCTAAATGCTGAGCAGAGAGCAGAGAAAGAAAAACAGGAAGTCCCCAGATGCCAGAAATGAAAAGAGAAATGAAAAACAGCACAGGGAGTGCTTGAGCTACCTGAATGGCTGTAGGCGTTCCAGAGGACGCCGAGCACAGGGGAGGCAGAGAATTGGGACAAAACTCAAAGAGCTGAACCTTCAGTGAAAAGCTGAGCTAGAAAAAATTCACACGGAGGCTCATCTCTTTCATCTCATGGGAAAAGAGCTTCGCCCCAAGAACTCCATGTGGGCTTGCACTCTGCGTGAGGTTGGGTCTCAATCATACAATCTGCGTGATCCGGGGCTCAGGCACAGAAAGTCCCCTGAGATCCGTGAGTCGAGTCTGGCCATTCCTCTCCTGACACTGTCCTCGCAGGTAAGAAAATCAGACCAGGGTTTTATTCAGTGCCCGACCGATGTCCACACAATTTCCTCTCGCCCTTCACCCCTGGAGGTCCTCGTCACTCTGCTGTTGCTGCTACAGTCTTAAGATTCCCCTGCTTTCAGGGCCAAAGGGCTAGGACTTGTGTGGACTCTGAAGGCATTAGTTGTTGCTGGTGACTTCCATTTCTGCTTCTGTGCTAGGCATATTCTGATTAACTTTCTCCCGTTTTCCTCGCTTCTCTGATAAAAATCCAAAGTGGACATCCTGGTGAATGAGAGATGAATATATGTGTTAGTAGACTGTCCTTGTCCCACTTCCCCTTATTCAACATCGAATGTGACAGGCTGCCTCCTGGAGCTGGGAGGAGCATGGAGTTCACCTTCTCCAAGGAACACACACAGTGACCCCGGAGTCCAGAAAAGAGAGCCTCAACTGGCTGCTCCTCCTCAGATGGGAGGAAGAGGAGGAATCCCCCAGGAAGACAGGAGAAGGGCACTCCGGGGAGGGGGAGCAGTGTGTGAGAAGGTACGAGGCGGCTGGTGTGTTTGGGGGAATGCCAAGAAGCCCAGTGTGTGAGCCTGGGAGAGAGGAGGGAAGGAATCAGACCATGCAGGGTCTTGAAAGCCAGGCAGGAAATGTCAGGCTCTGTGCTGAAGTAATAGGGGCAAAAAGTTTTAAGTGAGGAAGGGATATGACACTGAACCCGGTCACAATGGACGAGGCACAGAGAGCCATGAGCCCCTAGGGGTGGGTACTGGCCCTGGTTACGGGCCTATTGCCCTGGTTGTATGAGGAAGTTGGAGCTGATCACCAGGACCTGGGGGAGAAGGTGGGGGGGGCCTGCCTCCCTGGGGCCCTTCCCACAGCAGCCCAAGCCATAGCTCTCTCCCTCTCACCCCCTACCTGGTCTGTGCTATGTTCCATTCCTCTAGGGAATGAGATCTTCTTCCAAAATCTAAGAAAGAAGTAGGAGGTGGGGAGCCTCAGCAGCTCCTGAGGCCTGGGCATGGCCTGCAGCTGCCTCCGTAGGTTACCCTGCGGCACCTCCCCGCGCCTCCGTGCTAGGATTGTCTGAGTGCCCAGACCGTCACCTCCTGGCTCAGAGCATCTGAGGTCCACGCCAGCCCAGACAGCTTCAGGACCAGCAGAAGCAGCTGTCTCCAGTAGCCCTGCTCCCCCACACTCCTTCGGCAGATGGGGCGTCCCCTGGTTTGGTTCCCTACCGTCTTGAAGCTCTGAATGGGTCCCTGGCTCATCCTGAGGAGGAGAACAGAAACTGGCAGAACTCCGGGGGCAGGCCTGGGCCTCCCTGCCCCTGCCCTCTCCTCAGCACCCACCCGAAGGCCGAGGTGTGCCGGGTGGCGTTGTTGCTGACGCCAGAGGCCGGCAGGATCTTGGAGTTCCCCACCAGCACGCAGGTCCTGCAGTACAGATGGCTATGGCTCACAGAGGGCCTGAGAATCACCTTGAACAGCTTCTCCCACATTTTGCCCAGCTCGCTTGTCGAGTTCATGCCCTGGAAACAGCCGGAGGGAGGAGGGTGAGGGCTAGGACCCGGGTTTCAGCTCCCAGTGGAAGGAAAGCAGCCCCAGGTGGGTGAGAGCGCCATGCAGAGCTCAGGGGCTGAGGCTCTGAAGATGAAAGGTGCAACTAAACCAGGGCCAAGATAGGGGTTTGGGCCTGAAAGTGGGAGATGGGCTAGGCCTGGGAAGGACAGGGGCAGGGTTAGGCCCAGCGTTAACCACTGGCCAACCACCAGAGCACAGAATCAGGGGCCATGAACGCTGTTGTCCCCACCAGGTACCCCATCGTCCTCGCATAGCATGCATCAAACCAGCTCTGTCCTCGGACGGGGCGATGGCAGAGGGAGTCGTTGAGGGTCCCAGGTGGGCAGCCGTGCTTCCTGAACCTAAACCAAAGGCAGCTGCCACGTCGCGGTGCCAAGTGCATCACTTTTTCCCGGGGTGCCGAGTCAGGTTTCTGATCCAGGCAGGGAACCATCAGGCACAAGATGAGCACCCAGAAGACCCATAGGACACAAATCTGCCACATGCACTTCATGTCTGGCTTAGGCGATGGCTTCCATGGGCAGGCAGTAAGCTGGCTCCTCCACCTGGGACAGGGGCAAAGGATGATCACAAATGGCCTCTGTCCCCTCCAGGCCTCCGTCCCCTTGGCTTCTATGGCTCCTCAGTCCTCCATACCATACTTCCTCCCAAACCCTCATCTTCTGCCTCCTTATCCATTTGCTCACCTCAGGTAGGACTCTAACTGGGCCTGGGATATAATGTGCAAGAGCAGAAAGGTAACATATGGTGTATCCTGTACCCTCTCTGCAGGAGGCAAGCTTGGCTCTCAGTGGGGTCCATCTGCCACCCATTTATACCACAGGTCCCATCACAAAGTGCACATTGTGACTCCCCCTTTAGCCTGCCCTGTCTGTAACACACAGCTGCCCACACTGACTGTGAAAGCCATGCAGGCAGGGACCAACTTTGTCTTCTTTACTTCTGCATCCCTAAAACTTAGAGCCATATCATAAACGTTTATGGGATACAGGAACAGGGTTGAGAGGGAATTTAAATCCTGTTCTTGTGTAATACCCCTCTCCAATTGTGGAACCAGCTCAGAATCCTCTCCTCTCCTCTCCTCTCCTCTCCTCTCCTCTCCTCTCCTCTCCTCTAAACCCTATCTCCTTCAGCTATTGGACTTCCACTAAGATGTCCCAGAGACTTCTCACACTGAACAAGCCTGAGACTGAATTCAGATTTTTCCCTTTAAACCAATTCTTTCCCAAGATTTCTCTTTCTCTAGATTAGGGGTGTCGAACTCAATCAGAGAAGGGGCCAAAATCTAAAATCCAGCCTAAATCGCGGGCCGAATGGTTTACTGAACAGTCATAAACTGTCATTGTGATGGAAACGCAGCGGAGTGCAGTGATGACAGCACGGTGCGGGCCACATTGCAAGGCCTGGCGGGACGGATTTGGCCCGCGGGCCTTGTGTTTGACACATGTGCTCTAGATGGTCTCACCATTCACTCGGTTGCTGAAGACAGAAGGCCATGTGTTATCCTTGACTTCTCCCTCTCCTATGATTTCCAGATACATTTTTTAATGCATGTTTTTATTGACTCCAGAAAGAGGAAGGGACAGGGAGAGAGAAATAGAAACATTGATTGTCAGCCTCCTGAATACCTGCCGTTAGGGATCGAGCCTGCAACCCAGGCACAGGCCTGGGCAGAACTGAACCAGCAATCTCCTCATATATGAGTTGATGCTCAGCCCCTGCACAACACTGGTGGGGTCAAATCCATTTTTCTGTCTCCAAACTGCATCCTCTTCCTCTCCACTCTCACCCCTTAATTCAAGCCTAGCCTGGGTATTGTATAGATTTTAAAACAATTCACCAAAAAATTTGAGTAAGGTCTGTCATCCAGTTAATTATATTGTACTGGTGTCAATTTCCTGGTTTGAAAATGTAATATTGGTACTACTCTGTTACCCCGAAAATAAGACAGTGTCTTGTATTGATTTTTTCTCCCAAAGTTGCGCTAGTTCTTATTTTCAGGGGATGTCTTATCTTTCCATGTGCTAGGTCTTATTTTCGGAGAATGTCTTATTTTGGGGAAAACACGGTATATGGTAAGATGCTCCCATTAAGAGAAACAGCATCAGTACCAAAAATGTTGGGGGTTTGATTCTTGGTCAGGCACATACCGAGTTCAATCCTCAGTTACAGAATATATGAGAGGCAACCGACTAAATCAATGTCTCTCTTGCTCTTTCTCTCGCTCTCTCTGTGTGTGTGTGTGTGTGTGTGTGTGTGTGTGTGTGTCTCCCCCTTCCTCTCTCTAATATCAATGAAAAATATCCTCAGGGGGGTTAAAAAGAGAGAGAGATAAATTGTTTGATGGGTACATGGGATCTCTTACTATTTTTGCAATATCTTATGTGCCTATAGTTATTTCCAAATAAAAATATTTTTTAATCATCTAGAAAAAAATACATAGTATCGATAAGTTGAATTGCTGATTTACTTATGTCAATTGATATAATCTTTTTACTGTTGTAACACTCAAAAACTTAACATTTTAGCCAAAACCGGTTTGGCTCAGTGGATAGGGTGTCGGCCTGCGGACTGAAAGGTCCTGGGTTTGATTCCGGTCAAGGGCATGTACCTTGGTTGTGGGCACATCCCAGTGTGGGGGGTGCAGGTGGCAGCTGACCAATGATTCTCTCTCATCGATGTTTCTTATTCTCTATCCCTCTCTCTTCCTCTCTGTAAAAAGTCAATAAAATGTATTTATAAAAAAACAAACTTAATCATTTTAACCATTTTAAAATGTACAATTTATGGTGAGCACACAATACAATATGCAGGTATTATAGAATTGTACACCTGGAACCTACATAATTTTATTAACCAATGTCACCCCAATAAATTCAATAAAAAAAGAAAAATGAGCAAAAATAAATAAATAGCAAACTTCTGTCAGGATATTTTCTCTCATTCCTCTCCTGTTAGCCAGCCTATTGGCTGTGCATGTCCACTTAATCCATCAATGTGGTCAGCGGATTCCTCTCTAAGACCCTGCGTCAGTATTAGTGACAGTGTTTGGAACTCTGTGATGCCTGTGGAATTCAGACTGGAAAGAATCACAGGAGTGTTGGAGGTGGATAACGGGGTCCTGGAACTTCTTTTACCTTCAAAGATGAAAACAGTGAAGAAGAAAAAAGAAGATATAAACAGTAACCATTCAAGACTCCACGAGACAGGAGCAACAGACTCTTTCCGGCATCCGGGAGGAGACCATGTTCTCTTTAGGCAGGGCCACATGTGGAAGGAAACTGCACTGGGAGTTAGAAGATGTGGGTGTTGTCCCCTGTCAGCAGCAATGAGCTGGATGACATTGGCAGGAAAACTTGATCTTTACTTGGTCTTGGTTCCATCTTTTCAAAAAAAGAGTCAGGCCAGTGTGGCTCAATGGTTGAGCATTGACCTATGAGCCAGGAGGTCACGGTTTGATTCCCAGTCAGAGCACATACCCAGGTTGTGGCTCAATCCCAAGTGTGTGACATGCAGGAGGCAGCTAATCAATGTTTCTCTCTTATCATTGCTGTTTCTATCTCTCTCTCTCTGAAATCAATAAAAATTTTTTTTTTTTTTTTACAGATGGGCTTATAATGTTTTTCTTCCACAACCTGCAACAGCTTCCTAACTGGTATATCTGCTTCCGTTCCATCTGTGGCAGAGAGAAGAGAGAGAGAGAGAGCTTGCTTCTTTGTTCAGAAGTTTAAATATTTAGGTTTCTCCAGCTTGCAGTGGCCATGCCTGTCCTGGCCAATTACCTGTTTCCAGGTATGATTGACAGGCAAGCGCCTTCCTTGTAACTCAGACCTTTACTGGGCATGCGTCTAAGTTACCTTTGTTCAGTCCCTTCCCCCAGCAATCAGAAGGGAACAGACTTGGAGAATGTTAAATGCAGCTTTATGGCTAAGCTGAATAAATGGATTTCCCCTTTCCCCCTTCCTGTTAAATAAAAACCAGGTTATTACCATGGCATCATATCCATTTGTTACCCATTCTTTACCCAGTAACTGGCATGATCTTAAACTAATTTCCTACTTAGATCCTTAAAATGGTATCCCATTGCACTCAGAATAAAATTCAAAATCCTTCCCTAGCCAGTGTAGCTCACTTGGTTGGGAGTTGTCCGTGCATTGAAAAGTTGCCAGTTCGAATCCAGTCAGGGCACATGCCCATGATTGCAGGCACAATCCCTATTAGGGGTCATGCAGGAGGCAGCTAGTTAATGTTTCACTCTCACATGGATGTTTCTCTCTCTCCCTCTCCCTCCTCTCTCTCTCAAAAAAAAAAAAATCAATGAAAAATATATTTAAAATCCTCACTCATCTCACACATTTTCCAACCATTCTGGCTTTTTTTTTTCTTTTTTTTTCTTTCTATTCCTAGAACTTTCAAGTTCCATCTTTTTTTTTTCTTTTAATATATTTTATTGATTTTTCACAGAGAGGAAAGGAGAGAGATAGAGAGTTAGAAACATCGATAAGAAAGATACATCGACCAGCTGCCTCCTGCACAACCCCCATCAGGGATGTGCCATCAACCAATGTACATGCCCCTGACCAGAATCAAACCTGGGACCTTTCAGTCCGCAGACCGACGCTCTATCCACTGAGCCAAACCAGTCCCGACCCAAATTCCATCTTGCCTCAGGATCTTTGCACTTGTAGTTGCTCTTCCTAGAACATATTACTCCCTCTACTCCCACCCTCAGCACTTCATCTCCCTACTTCCTCCCCTTTCTTCAGGTCTCATGTTAATGTCACTCACTTGGGGATCCTTCTCCAACTCCTATATTACTGAAGTCCCTAAGAAGCTCTCCTAATGGGTCCTGAGACCCTCCCTGAAACATATTCACCATAGTATTCTCAAAACCCAGGGAGACCTAGGAAATAGGAAGAGCTTGATACCATAAATACGTGTTGAAGGAGTGACAGAGCGGATCATTTAGTCTAGAGCCCCACTGAGGACGGACGGCTTTGAAGTGAAATGTGGATGGGCACAGAATGGGCACAGATCGAAGAAGAGAGGACGCTTTCTGCTAAGGTTATCCCTGGGCATTGTTGTGGGGTCGAATCCTGGAGTCAAAAATAAGACCACCGGGGGTTGCTAATTGATTAAAAAAGCAGGCGAGGATTTATTGAACTGGCCAGGACGGCCGCGAGAGCACCACATGCAGGTGGAGTCCACATTCAGGACCACGCCGTTCCAGGTGTAGGCAGTCCTTTTAAATGTCTAAACCACAAAAATTTTCCTTTGTTCTAAATTCCAAAGGCTGGGAACAGCCCGCAGGGTTGTTCCCAGCCACATCCTGTTGGACGTTGGAATGTGGCCCTATCTTGCGATAGCAGATAGTACAGAAACAGAGCTGAGCGGTTAATCTCTAAAGGTTATCTATAGTTTCAACTCCTGAAGCCACTGAGTCAGTGGGAATCAATCTCCTGTGGTCCTGGTCCACAGGCACAGGAAAATTGCTTTAGCCTCCAGGTCTCAATCTGGAAGCTGAGGCAGCTACCCTATTGTTTAAGCAAGTAGGCGAGTGCCGAAGCCAGAATAGCAGGGTTAAAACTCAAACAGCAGTTTTTACCTACGTATGGTTGCTTCAGGCATCCACCTGAGAATAGGTGCCTCTCTCATTTGGTGGTGGCAGCTTATGTGTGGGAAAGACCCAAGCTCTGGAGGCAGAAAGAACAGGCCTTGAATCCTAGCTTTGTCCCATTAACTAACCCTGCAACCTTCAGCAAAATCAGTTCACTTCTTTGCTTCCCCACCTATAAAATGCGGTTTGAAATAGCACCTACACCCCAGGGCTGTTTTAATGGTAGAAAGGAACTAGAGCAGTTAGCATATTGCCAGTTTTCAAGTAAGATGAGTTAGTCCTTTCCTTCTCCCCTTCCCTAACGAACTGCAGTCTGAGAGCAGAAGGGAGACTCTGGCACTGCTCAGCTTCTCCAGAGTCAGACTGCCCCAAGGCACCCAGCTCATGTCCTTCCTCCTGTTCCTGGAAGCCTTTCTAACCTAGCATGGCAGTCACTTTCTCCTACAGACGCCCGCAGTCCCCTGAGCCACCTCTCATCAAAGCCCTGGTCTCGCCTCACTGAAATGATTTGAGCTGTGCACCACCAGGAGACATACTCAGAAGCACTGGTGCTGTTCCAGTAAAATCAGCCCAAGGACCCTGGCTCCCAGACTTTGAGGGCCAGAAGAAATGGGTTGGCATCAGGTCCTGCCATTAATGAGCTGGGATTAGGGCACGTTACCTAGCTTCTCCAGGCCAGTTAGTTTCTCCTCCATGAAATGCACCACGGCACACCTACTTCCTATAGATTCTCAAGCTTGTAACTTGAGAACCACACTTACGGGTTCTGATTCCAAAGGTCTGTGGTTGGGCCCAACATTTTTCATTTCTAACCAGTTCCCAGATAATAATGAGGCTGCTGGATGGGGACACCTGGAAAACCACTGTTCCAGGAGGTTCCAAGTGGTTCCAAGAAGTCTGATGTGAAACTCTTGTCGCAATTCCTTGCAGAAACTGCTAGGCAAGCGAGTGCCCCTATTGCTCTTTGTAGCCCGCAGAGACCGCCTCCGGGCACCCCGGTCCACAGAGGACCACCCTGATGGGTGCCCACGTCCATCCCACAAAGCTGCCTGCAGCACCTGTGGCCGGAGGAGGGGAGGAGCGAGTGAAAACGCGAGGAAGGGGCGGGGCCAAGCGGCTGAGGGGTGTGGCCAAGCGGCTGAGGGGCGGGGCCAAGCGCTCGCGCTGCTGCGCCTGCGTGCGAAGAGGGGGCGTGGCTCGAACTCCTGGCCGGAAGCTGGAGGCTGCAGGGGCAGACCGGCTGGCATCCCTTTTCCGGCTGGTCCCCATGGAGGCGCTGGGGAAGCTCAAGCAGTTCGATGCCTACCCTAAGACCCTGGAGGACTTCCGGGTCAAGACCTGTGGGGGCGCCACGGGTAGGCGGCGGCGGGCGGGGGTCGCGGGGAGAGGGGCGTCCAGGAGTTTGGCTGGGCCTCCTGCAGGCAGCCGGCCTGTCAGGGGCTGCGGGAGCTGAGCCGAGGCCGTTCTGCCCCTCGCCCCCTGCCCTGCAGTGACCATTGTCAGCGGGCTTCTCATGCTGCTGCTGTTCCTGTCCGAGCTGCAGTATTACCTGACCACGGAGGTAAGGGGCGGGGCCGAGGCCGTGCGCGGGCCGGATTTTCTAGGAATCGGGTCTTTAGGGATGGGGATGGGAGAGGAAGAGGCAGGAGGCCAAATCTTACTGAGGCAGTGCCGCCCAGGTGCACCCTGAACTCTACGTGGACAAGTCACGGGGAGATAAACTGAAGATCAACATCGATGTGTTTTTCCCGCACATGCCTTGTGCCTGTAAGTACCTTCCCCCCGGTGGGAATTGCAAGTCCCAGGGTTCTCAGGTGGGCCTCCAGATTGACACCTCCAGCTTTAGACTTAGCTGGACCCCAGGACAACCTCCTTCCCTTAACCCACTGCTGCCCCAAGGCAGGTCAGCATTCCCCTACCCTCCAAAACCCAGATTCCCTTGTCCCTGGGATCCTAGTCCCTTACTTGACTAACTCCTTCTAGATCTGAGCATTGATGCCATGGATGTAGCTGGCGAACAGCAGCTGGATGTGGAACACAACCTGTTCAAGCAACGGCTGGACAAGGATGGCATCCCTGTGAGCTCAGAGGCTGAGCGTCATGGTAAGTGGGGGCGGGGGCCTGCTCTCCCATCCCAGAGCTCCACATGCCTAAGCCCTGCGTTCTGACAAGCGGGCTGTTGCTGGCCCAGTGACCAGTGAAGCAACTGTGACCCCGAGAAGTCAATGGCTTGCCTAGGGTTCCCCAGCTATTAATCAGAGCGGGCAGAAACCCAGGCTTCTAGCCTCTGTCTGTGGAGTAGGGTACACTCCCTGGCTGCCATTCTCAAAAGTCCCAGTTCTTGCATATCATGGTTTGAGTAACAGAAGTTTGAGGATGGGTCCGATTGCTGTTGCCTTGGCAAACTTTCTCTAGATGGACCCAAGATTCTCTGACTGCTTTCTCATCCTGTTGGCTAAGGGCCCTGAATTCTCTTCCCTTTTGGAGTGTAGCGTGGCTTAAGGTTAAGAGTTTACATTCTTGAGTTAGATTACCTGAGTTCGGATAGAGTTATTTTCTCTTTCAGTCTGTGACCTCAGCTATAAAGAGGTGATAAAACAATTGTACCCACCACATGGAATTATGGGATCAAATGAAGTAATATGTGTACAATGCCTAGTACAGAGTGGTGGTTCACTATTAGTTTCTTTTTCTCTCTCTAGGCAGCCTCCCAGTGCCTCCATTAACTCAGTTTTCCACCATACAAAACCCTACTCAAAGCTATGGTTTTTCCTACCTTAGGCCAGGGATTGCTCTGTGGTGAGCTTCATCATTCATGTATTCAATAGATACCTGTTGAACACCAGGAAAATCCAACAGGATTTGCTGTAGGATTGGATGTTGGTATAAGAGAGCACCCAGGGCTTTGATTCCACGGCTTTTGCCTGAGCAAAAAGAGTTACACAGCATTATTCTGCAGTATACTGGTGGTTACACAGGTCAGCCCTATTCATTGTGGAAGAGGAATACATAAGGATGTAAGCACCTTTTCATGTACCTGTTGGCCATTTGTATGTCTTCTTTTGAAAAATGTTTATTCAGGTCCTTTGCCCGTTTTTAATTGGATTATTTGGGTGTATGGCTTTTTGCTTTTTTTTTTTTTTTCTGTTGAGTTATGTGAGTTCCTTATATAGTTGGGATATTAACCCCTTATCAGATATATCCTTGCAAGTATTTTCTTTCATGCTGGAAGTTGCCTTTTCATTTTAATTGTTTGTTTTGCTATGCAGAAGCTTTTTACTTTGATGTAGTCCCACTTGTTTATTTTTGCTTTTGTTGCCTGTGCTTTTGGTCAAATTAAAAAAATGATTCCCAAGACCAATGCCAAGGAGCTTTTCTCTTATGTTCTCTTTTGGGAGTTTTATGGTATCACATCTTACATTTAATTTATTTTTAGTGTTTTGTTTTTGTTTAAATATATTTTATTGATTTTTTACAGAGAGGAAGAGAGAGGGATAGAGAGCTAGAAATATTGATGAGAGAGCGTCATCGATCAGCTGCCTCTTGCACACCCCCTACTGGGGATGTGCCTGCAACCAAGGTACATGCCCTTGATCGGAATCGAACCCGGGACCTTTCAGTCCGCAAGCCGACATTCTATCCACTGAGCCAAACAAGCCTCGGCCATTTTTAGTTTTTATGAGTGGTTTTTATAAGTAGGGGTCCAGTTTCATTTTTTCCATGTGAATTTCCAGTTTTCCCAGCATCATTTATTGAGGAGGCCATCCTTTCCCCATTTTGTACCTTGGGTGTTAAGTAGGGAAGTAAGGACATGAAGGAGTGATAGTGTCAGTGGTGTCAAAGAATTGGTGGATTCTGCATACCAGAGGTAGTGAACTGGGAAAATTAAGTAGTTGAATACTTGACATTGCATTTTTAAAAGTTTGTGTAATTGCTAATGATAAGGTCCAGGTGTAAGCATGGAAATTGATAGCTAAGGTGAGATGACAAAATAAGAAGAGTATTGGAGGACAGGTGGTCAGGTTATTGAATATTGAAACTGCCAATTATGATGGGGTAGTTAAAGAGTAGGAGCCAGTGCAGAGACAGAGGTCTGAGAAGCACCATGGTGAAGTGGTTAAGGAAATACACTTTGGAATTGGAGCTGAAATCTGCATTCAGTCCTCATCTCTGAGCCTCAGCATCTTCTCCAGTATGATAGGGATAATAACCTCACCTTCATAGAGTTATTGTGAAGATGAAGTGAGATTATAACTTTTATTATTCCCAAGCCACAGGCCAAAGGGCCCATGCAGGGCTTCTGAGTAGATTTCACTGAATCTGCCCCAACTAATGCCTGCCTCTGCTCTCTCCTTAGAACTTGGGAAAGTTGAGATGAAGGTGTTTGACCCTGACTCCCTGGACCCTCACCGCTGTGAGAGCTGCTATGGTGCTGAGACCGAAGACATCAAGTGAGCCAGATCCCGGTGGGAAGGGAGGGAAGCAGGGCTGTTTGCCAGCCTTCCTCAGCCTCAGTCTGACTCTTTGAAAGTTGGACCAAGAATTTAGAGGGGATAGGGTGTGTGCCTCAGCAACAGATCCTGGTGTGAGTGCCAGGCCCTGCCTGCAGACCCGGGCAAGAGGCTGAAATCGTCCTTGCTCTGGTTCAGAGGTGCTCTCCAGAGTCCAACCGCCTGGTTCCATTCATGTGTCCTTGGGCCTAGCCACATAACCTCTCTGTGTACGGGGATGATCGTTACACCTTTCTCAAAAGAGTTACCTCTGGATTAAATATGTGTACCGGGTATACTCTTTGTAAAGCACTGAGATGGAAAGCCTCGTTCACATTATTAAGCCCTTGATATATAGCAACTGCTATTATGTTTCCAATCTCCTGACCTCTGAGAGGCTCATTCAGAATGTCTGCCGTGGGTCCTGGGAATATGCTTTGTTTTGTTTATTAATTTGTATTGTAATAAAACATATATGACATAAATGTTACCATTCTAACCATTTTCAAATGTACTATGTAGTGGCATTAACTGCATTCATAGCATTGTGCAATCATCACCACTATCTGTTCCAAAACCTTTCATCACCCCAAACAATGGGAGTGTGTGTGTGTGTGTGTGTGTGTGTGTGTGTGTTTAATACACTTTTATTGATTTAGAGAGAGGAAGGAAGAAGTATTGTAGAAACATAATTGAGGGGAGAGTCATTGATTTGTTGCCTCCTGCACCCCTCAACCCCCCACTGAGAATCAAACCCACAACCCAGGCATGTACCTTGACTGGGAATCAGTGACCTCCTGGATCATGGGTCGACACTCAACCACTGAGCAGCACTGGCTGGGTAGGAATATGTATTTTTTAACATTTCTGCTGCCACTGAGGAAACACGCTTTGAGAACATTTGGTGGTCAGGGATGCGGCTAGCAGAGACTCCATTAGCAGGCAGAACTGCTCAGGCTTTATTTCCCAAGGCGCCAGCACTGTTCTGTGCTTTTCTGACACTCGGCCCGTGCCTCCTCTCCTGCAGGTGCTGTAACACCTGCGAGGACGTGCGGGAAGCGTACCGCCGTAGAGGCTGGGCCTTTAAGAACCCGGACACTATCGAGCAGTGCCGGCGAGAGGGCTTCAGCCAGAAGATGCAGGAGCAGAAGAACGAAGGCTGCCAGGTGTATGGCTTCCTGGAAGTCAACAAGGTAGAGGAGGGACTGAGGCGACGCAGGGCCAGCAGGGCCGGCTCCACTGTGAACCTCGGGCCTGCGTAGGCCCTCAGGGGACAGAGGGAAGAGAGGAATCAGCTGGAGAATGAGAGGGAATATCCCCTACAGGTGGCTGGGAACTTCCACTTTGCTCCGGGGAAGAGCTTCCAGCAGTCCCATGTGCACGGTGAGTGACCCTCCGTCATCCGGGGAGGCATAGTCCCTGCACGCCGGGCAGGTTTGAGTTTGAGCGCCCCTTCACCTGCCCCGTGTCCTTTTGTCTTTGGCCCAGAAAAGACCCTCCTATCAGGGTGGCAGTTTGGTGCAGCAGCTAAGAGCACAGCTGAGGACCCAGACTCCTGGGTTCAGATTTCAGTTTCAGACCTTGCTGGCTGTATGACACTTTGAGAAAGTTTCTTAACCTTTTAAACAATTTCCTACTTTACAAAATGGTGATGACAGCACTGATCTCCTAGGGTATGTGTGAAGCTGAAAACCTGTAGCCTAGAGCCAGGCTACGGCAGGCACTTGTTTAAAAGGCAGCACCCAGTCTCTGCTGAGCTGCATGTGAGCCTTTGAGGGAAACAGTGGGGTTGGGGCACAGGTCCTGCCACTCCCAAGCTACGTCACAGTTGGGAAGCAGTGAGCCCTCCTCAGTTTGTTCTTCTATAAAGTGGGGCTGACGGTACTAGTACTTACCTCACAAGGTTGTTCACGGGTATGAATAAATGAAACAAGCTCTTTCATTCATGCACTAGGTATTCAATTAATCACCTACTATGTACTCTATGCTAGTCTAAGTGCTAAGGATACAACAGTGAACAAAACAAAGTCCCTGCCCTTAGAACATTCTAGTAAAAAGCAGACAATAAACAAGTATGTGAAATATATAGTATATCAGATGCTATTAAGTAATATGGACCAAAAAGACAAGATCGGGGATGGGGACGGAGGCTTAGGTGAGACGACATGTGTGTTCTGTTTTATATGGGGTGACCAGGGAAAGACGGGGCAGTATTTGAGCTGACCCAATGGGTGTCTTGGGGAAAGTGCCTCAAGCAGAGAGCATAGCAAATGCAAATCCCTATGGTAAGAATTCAAGGTCCAGTAAGAAAGTTAGGGTGGCTGCCGCAGAGTGAGCAGAGCTTCACAGGAGAAAGAGGGTGAGAGGCCTAGCTGGTTTGGCTCAGTGGATAGAGTGTCGGCCTGAAGGGTCCCCGGTTCCATTCTGGGCAAGGGCACGAGGCCAGGTTGCCAGCTTGATCCCCAGTAAGGGGCGTGCAGGAAGCAGCCCGTCAATGGTTCTTTCTCATTTTTGATGTTTCAATCTCCCCCCCTCTCCCTTCCTCTCTGAAATCAATAAAAAATGTTTAAGAAAAAAGAAGGCGAGAGCCCTGGCCAGTGTGGCTCAGTTGAATGAGCACTAAAAGGTCGCCAGTTTGATTCCTGGCCAGGGCACATGCCCAGGTTGTGGGCTCAATCCCCAGTAGGGAGCATGCAGGAGGTTGCCTGTCGATGTTCACATCAATGTATCTCTCTCTAAAAATCAATAAAAAGGAAGAAGAAGGTGAGAGAGAGGAAAGGAGGCCATGTCATGTAGGGCTTGGAGGGGCATTGTACAGCCTTGGGCTTTTACTCTGAGATGGGAAGCCCTTGCAGGGCCCTGAAGAAGTGGTACATGATCTGACTGAACTTTGAAAAGGCGGGCAGCACTCTGCTCTGTGGAGAAGACTGTGGGGGGAAGGGCAGGACCAAAAAGGCCAGTTTGGAGGTTTTTGCAGTGACCAGTCCAGGCATAAGGTGGTGGGGCGGGGCCAGAGTGGTGATAAGATGGTGAGAAGTGACTGCATATATCTTGAAGGTAGAGCTGAGAGTTGTTGCTGAAGGAAGTGAAGGGTAAGAGAAAGAGGAGTTAAGGTTTTATACCTGAGTAGCGAGAGGGATAAAGTTGCATTTAGTGAGAGGGGAAGATTCAGGGGAACAGGGTTTTGGTTGGAGGTGGGGAACATAAAGCAGGTGTTCGTTCAGCTTTTGACAGGTTCAGACCAAAGGCATTTAGAGATCCAGGATGTCTAGTATGCAGTGGGCTATTCAAGTCTGGAGTTCAGGAGAGAGATCTGGGGATACAAAGGTTATAGAGTCATCAGCGTATTTAAACCCATGGGACTGGATGACATTGCCCCGGCAGTGAGGATAGACAGGAGAGGAGGAAAGCTCAAAGAACTGAGCGCTGGCTTCCAGCATGAGAGGACCAGGGCATCAGGAGGAAGCAGCAGAGGTTAGTCAGACGCACCAGTGAGGTGAGAATGTAAACCAGGGGAATGGGGTCCTGAGAGCCAGTGGACGGAAGTGTTTCCAGAGCAGTATCACGGTCAGAGCTTCTGGACCAGGAATAATTGCCCGTGGATATCCATGGCGTGTTATCGACCATGACAGAGCAGTTTGGGCGGAGTGATAGGGAGCACCCAGAAGAAGAAATGGGCAAGGAGTTGGAGCCAGTGAGTGTCTGCTACTCCAGCTGTAGCCTCTCGAAGGGGAGAGAGGCTACAGCTGGAGGGAAATGGGGAGTCCAGGGAGGGCTTTGTAAGATGTGTGATGTGGGAACCCCTTTCACATCGCGTGGTGCAGGGTTCAGGTTCAGAGTTTGCGTTTTGGAGAAGGCCGCACACAAATAAAAGAGACTAGAAAAGTATTAATTTGGGAATATTGGGGGCCACCTGGGGGGGGGGGGAGGACTACCCCTCCCCCCCTCTGGCTTTGCTATCCCTTTTATTAAGGTTATGAGATACACCCATATCCTTTAGGCAGGAAATTCCAATAATAGCCAATTAGCAAGAATTTACATAAGAGGAACAGGTGGAGGCTGCTTTAGCTACCAAAGTCTCAACTAAACAATGAGTGATTAGCTCTGACCGTTCAGAGCAATTAAGGTTGACCAGCTTTCGGATTCCCTGTTCACATCTCTTTATTAGTGACAATGATCGGTTTCGGTTTCGCAGTGTGATATGTTAATCTGCTGTCGGATTAAAGAGAGACACAGTGATGCTCCAGAGATGAAAGGGACAGTTATTGCAGTGAGGACCTTAAGAAGGAAAAAGAAGACAGGATCTAGTGCCTCTGAAGTATAGGAAGCTCAAACTTGGCACCAGGAGGAAGGCAGACTGTTGGGTAAAGGTAGATTGGCAGCTGGGTGACAGGGAATCGCCAAGAACGGGAACAGAGTCACGTGGGAGAGATCTCTGACGGCCAGTGGCTAGGACCTGGGAGGACTGGCCTGGGGCTCTGGGTGGGGCTCTAAGTAAGTAAAACAAGTGGGGCTAGTTGGTGGGATAGTTTGCCAGGAGCTGCAAAGCTGGGGGGTTTTAGGGGAGATCGAGGGACAGTGATCGAACGAAAGTGGCATTTGGGAGCAAGGAGGACCTCTCAGACCAAGGAGGAGGGTGGGTGTGGGAAACAGTCACCACTTGGGGGCGGGGGACGCAGGGAAATAGTCCTTCCAGGGAAGTGCCCGGCTGCGGCTGAAACAAGAAGGTGGGGGTGTTTGGAGGTTGAAGATGTAGAGGTTTTGCTGATGAGTAACAGGCCCATGAAAGGTCTAGGAGGAATGGGAGTCAGGATCGTAGTAGGTGTCAGGAGTCTGGTGGGTGAGAGATGACCTGACAGCCCCGAGCTGCCAGTGGCTAAGGTGAGCAGGAGCAGTGGCCCAGTGGAGGCAGCGCTGCTGGCTTTTCAGTGGGTGTGAGGCCGAGTGTGGGGGAGGGACAGGTAGGTGGGTCTGGAGCCCCCTCTACCATGGAAGGGCTGAGGAAGGGTGGACTTATTGGAATTGTGGGAAGTTGGCAAGCTGTTGGCAGAGGACCTGAGCACATGCAGTAGGAGATGGTGCTGCAGGCGGCAGTATTATCTGCTTCTCAGCCTGGGCTATTGTCAAGAGTCAGGAGCCCAGGGCGAAGGGGGTTCAAAGCAGGAAGCTACAGTAGCCCAAGGCCAAAAGTCTAGCTCAGTTGAAGGGCCAGGACCTAGTTGTGACATCCTTTTGACTTGGGTGGGCGAGGAGGAGAGGTTATGGAGTTTCCGGTACTTTTCCATCTTAGATCGGACCTGGTCCCCAGGACAGACCTTTGCAGAGGTTACTGAGGCCCTGAGAGGGCAAGTGATTTGACCAACATCACACAATTAGAAAAGTGGCTCGGCTCTGGGTCTTCTGTTTTTTTCTAGGCCACCTTACTTCTGCCCCCAACCCTCCTTTAACTCTCTCCTGCCCGGGGAAGGGCTCCTTTGGGCCAGGAGGCGGCTTGTTAGCTGAGTCCAGACCCTGCTGCTGAGGCAAAAACATTCCAGTCTTCCCTTCTACTACGTATCTTCTTGCTTCATAGTCCTCATTGTAAAGCTCTGAATTTTCTTTCTCTTCCTCCTTCTCTCCCTTCTCGCCCCCATGCTGCAGTCCATGCTGTGGAGAGTAAGTGGCCCTGACCCTGGGGAAGCCAAGCCCCCACTCTGGGGCCTTCCCATCCAGGATGGGGGGAGGTTTGGATGGGCCTGGGGTTGGGGCCTTGTCCGGATGACTATAAAAAGCACTGGGACATATTTTTGAGTTGGGGTTCCTTGCAGCAGGAGGAATCAGGGTCAGAGGGAAGGAAGAACTGACTCTGGAACTTGTGGGACGGGTACCATAGCATTTCCTTAGGGAGCCCTGAGGGTAAGGGCGGAGGCATCCGGGAAAGAGCCTGGGCGGCATTCGCAGGCCCCACCTCACGTTGGGACTCAGTGATTGGCCATCGTGAGAGACCAGAGTTGGTGGAGCCTGTTTCCTGAGTGCAAGCAGGGCCTTGGTGGGAGTGAAGTCCCAGAGCGATGCCCACAAAGGGCCCCTACATGCATCAGGGAAGAGCTGGGATCTGTGTTCTTAAGACGACCCCCCAAGGAGGGCATGGCCTCTCCCACGGGCCCAAGGCAGGCCCTTCCTGGCTGCCCTCAAGTAAGGCCAGGCTGGGAGGGGGGGAGTGAGGGGTCAAAGAAGAGCTGGGTGGGTCATACTCCAGAGGGAAGACGAGGAGGCCTGAGCGAGGGCTCTGAGGGAGCCAGGTGGCCAGTCCTGCTCCACCAGGTGACACTCTCCCCCTTCTCTTCTAGTCCACGACTTGCAGAGCTTCGGCCTTGACAACGTATGTACCGGATGGAAATAATAGAGGGAGGATGGCGGGGAGATGGTTGCTGCCTTAATTTCTCGTAGGGACGTCCGGGGTTGGGGAAGCAGATAAAAAATATATACCACATTCTGATAGGAGATCTAGACTGAAGGTTGAGTAACTGGGGTGACTTTTGAACTGAGACCTGGGCAGGCTGGGGGTGGATAAGAGAATTCTGGTCAAGGTCAGAGGGACGTGGCACTTCTCATGAACCACAGGGCCAGAGCCATTGTGGGTGGATGAGCTGGAGAGGTTGGTGGACGCTGGTCCACAGGAGTCAGGGGCCATGCTGAAGGGTCTGGCCTTTGTCCTCAGGAAGTGGGAGGCTGTTCGCCAGCCTTAACTAGGGTCGTGACACAATCAGATTGGCATATTTTTTAAGATCCCTCTAGTGGCTGGGTTTGATATAGGCTAGAACAGGACAGGAGTGGGAGCTGGGGACCCTCCAGTCTAGGTTTCCTTGGCTTGAAACCTCAGGGAAAGCTAGCACATGCCACTAAGGGCCCTTGCCCGTCTGTGTTTGCCTAATGTGTACGGATTCAATCGGAACCTCAAACTTGGGAACCCCAGCAGCTTACAGACTCGGTGAAGGTGGAGTTCCTAAGTGGGGAGTGGGTGCCTGTCTCATTCTCCAACAGGGCCCTCCCTCCCTCCCACCCTCCCACCCCATCCCACACATCTACTCCCCAGACGCAGGTGTCCCTGGCTTCTACTGTCCTCAGAGCTTTTGATGGGGTGGGGTCTGCTGGGGCGTCCGTGCTCTGAGTCCCACGTGTTGCTTACAGATCAACATGACCCACTACATCCGGCACCTGTCATTTGGGGAGGACTACCCAGGCATTGTGAACCCCCTGGACCGCACCAACGTCACTGCACTTCAAGGTACCGGCCTGGAAGGTCACCCCCAGCTCCCAAAGCCCTGCCTGGCACCCATGCCCAGTGCTCCCTTCTCCCTGCAGCCTCCATGATGTTCCAGTACTTTGTGAAGGTGGTGCCCACGGTGTACATGAAGCTCGATGGGCAGGTGAGTGTGCAGGAGCTCAGACAGCAGAGGCCCTCTCGGTGTCAAGCACTGGAGGCCCTTCAGCCTGGGAAGTGAAGCGCTGCTCTTATTCCCACGTGGTGGGTGACAGCCAAGGCTCCGAGAGTGTAGGCGATGTGCCCACCAGGGCCCGGGCTGTCAGATTTGCAAGGACTTGCTCAGGCTGCATCCACCTGATCCTCCAGTGCCCACTGCCTGCCTCACTGTACCCCATGGCCTGCCTGGGCTGGGGGCTACCTTTCCTGGGCCCCCTGCTTCCCTTTCTGCTGTGGCCCAGGGAGCAGCACCTCACAGACAGGTAGAATGCATGGGGCTGAGTTTGCAGAGTCAGGCCCAGCCTTGCCAGGTGCTCATGGTGCGGCCTTGAAGAGCTGCTTCTCTCCATGGACCCCCGTTGTGAGGATCCGCCGAATGGAGCTGGGACTGGTAACTCCAGAGAGCTGGTGACCCGCGGAGAAGCTGGGATTGTTAAGCTGTCCCTGTCTGGGTGGTCCCCAGGCTTTGCCATATTCGTTACCAGCATGGCACCTTGTTTTCTCCTCCACAACTCTTAAGGTGCTACAAGACACAGGCAGGGACAGGGGCAGGGTGGAGGGCGTTGGGAGTCAGGGTGTAGACCTGGCCCCGGCCCAGCTCCCCTCCCGGCCCAGGTGCTGAGGACAAACCAGTTCTCTGTGACCAGACATGAGAAGGTCGCCAATGGGCTGCTGGGCGACCAGGGGCTTCCCGGCGTCTTCGTGCTCTACGAGCTCTCGCCCATGATGGTGAAGCTGACTGAGAAGCACAGGTGAGGGCGGGGAGAGGGAGGGGACCAGGCCTGGTGGTAGCAGGGGTGCCTGCTGACCCCCCACTCCTCTGCCAGGTCTTTCACGCACTTCCTCACAGGCGTGTGTGCCATCATCGGGGGCATGTTCACAGGTTAGTAGCTCTAGGGTGTCTGTTTGGGGGTGGGGGTGGTGGGAGTGTAAAGTCTGGGCTCCCCACAGATTTCGGTTGGGGGAGAAGGGGCACCTCGAGGCCAAGGGGGGATGCTGACCTCGTGAGTAAGGCTCTGGCGGTCAAGCCAAGGGCCCAGCGGGGCCAGCGCCAGCCCTCGTCTCTCTCTCCAGTGGCTGGACTCATCGATTCACTCATCTACCACTCGGCACGAGCCATCCAGAAGAAAATTGATCTAGGGAAGACAACATAGTTGTCTTTCCCCTTTCCCCTTGCTGTTCCCTCTTTCTCCTGTTCTCCGGTTTTGTGGTCATTTTCCCAGCCGCACCCCTTCGCCCCACTTCCTCCTCCCCTCCCGGAGTCTTTGCAGCCCCAGGTTGATAAATCTATTGGTTGTGATAGTACTCACTGGTCTCTGTGTGGTTCTTGGGTCAGAAGCTGGGGACAACCGCTCATCACAGCCACTTGTGGAAGGCAACCAGGACTGACAGATCAGGCCAGGTGCCCTCTGGGAGCCCCACGTGGACACTTCCTGGTGTACAGGCTTTGTTCAGACTAGACTGATGCGGGCCACACAGCCCTCTCCTCGCCTCCTCACTGTGCTCTTTGGGCCTTCTGGTTTCAGCCTCAGGGCTGAGACGGGCCTATGTAGGATGAGTTTCCCAAGTTCATGAGCGAGAGTCCAGCGTTAGTAATAGAGCCCTGGGAGCAGTGACAGCTGAAGCTAGGGCCCCTGCCACTCTGGGTTCAGTCACCTGGATCTGTGACCCTGCTCTGTGCCAGCCCTTGCTGGCTCCTGGTGCCAAAAGGTGTCAGCCTGGTCCCATGCAGTCTCCTAGGTGGAGGCAGAACTGAAGAACAGGGGAGGGAGGTAGAAGCAGTCATCCTGCAGCAGAGCCAGCATCAGACCCCAGCCCTGGCCTCAGTGAGGGCTTCCCATTAGAGCTGCCCAGTGTAGAACCAGGCCCTGAGACCTCACTACTCCCCGAAGCTGGTAGTTCATCCCGTCATGTCTCAGGGCGTTCAGTATAAGACAGTAGAGGGGGAGAAGCAAAGGGAGGACAGGAAGCAAAATAGGGCGGTGATAGCAAAACCCCTGGAGGCAGGCAGACCTGAGCTCCAGCTCTGAGGTGATCACTTACGACCTGAGACGTTGGACGTGTTCTCTGTCTACGGGCACCGGTCTCACCTATATAATGCGGGTGATGGCTGTAGAGGGCCTTGTTTTTTGACCACCCAGGAACCATCCCCATTTGTTAACAGTATCTTGCATTTCTCCTGGGAAGCCCCCTCCATCCTCTCAGCTAAAGATTTGGATCGATCTCCCACCCTGAGCTCCAGGGGAGGGTTCCCTCAGCACATCCCATCCCCCTGGTCACGGCGACAGTACGAGCCAGGCTGTAGGGACTAGGAAGCTTTCCTTTGGATATGAATGGGGACACATGAGGTTGTTGCAGCCATCCTGCAGTCCCCAGGGGAGACCCTATTGGTGAGTGATCTGCCCCCAGATAGCAGAGCTGAGCCTGAGGCAGAGAACCAGTCTTGGTGACATTTGAGCCCTGTGACAAGCTGCACCTGAAGCCAGTTTGTGTTGGGATTGCTATTACTTGCAGCCAAAAGTGTCCTTAACTGATGTGGCCACCCTCAGAGTTGGTGAAAAATAAGTAAGTCATTGAAGCCTGTGAAGTGCTTAGCTGTTATGAGCAGATTAGGTAAGAGGGACCCAGCCATTGGCAGGAGCAACAGGTGGGCTCTCAGAGGGTATGACACCTCGTCAAGCAGGCCTCAGCCCTGAGCCTCCTACCAGGTCCTCTTCCCGGTGGTGGGGCCACGTGGTCAACTTTCCACCCTGTGCGTTCATTTTCCCAGTGAGTCCCCGGCACTGCGGTCACCCAAGAACATCCCTGTTCTCTGCCCCTGAATTCTGCACTTTCTCAGGCATCAGAGTGGATGTGAGTGAAGGTTTATTCAGAGAAAGCAGTGAGCCCGGGAGTAGGAGTGAGGGATGGGTGCGAAGGGAGGAGTGTCCAGGTCAGTTGGGGCCCGGGGGGTGGTGGAGGGGCTGGAAGATGACCTGGCTGATCTGGCCGGGCATGCTGTAGAAGACCAGGAGGAGGAAGAGGAGGATCAGCGCCAGGAGCACCAGGATGCGCCAGTACCGGCGCCAGATGAAGAAGACGAAGGTCTTCAGCGGGTTCACAAACCAGTTGAAGGAGGTTTTGGCCGGCTGTCGGGGAGCAGGGCAGGGGGTCAGGTGACTTCGGGGGATAAGGAAGCCCAGCCCTCTGGCACCTCCCACTCAGGCTCCAGCAGCCTCGCAGCGCCCGCTCCCTTGGGCTTCTCCAAGGGCTCGGGCTCCTCGCGCCCCATCCCCACTGGCCGCTTCTCCGCCGCCTCCACCGTCAGCAGCTCAAACTCTGCCTCCACCTTCCCCTGGAAAAGAGGGAACGGGCTGAGCTCTTCGCTGGCTTAGACCTGGCTCCTGCCAGCCCAGACCCGGGCCTGGCTGCACCCACCGTGAGGATGTAGACGTTGCCTCCGGAGTCTGCAAACTCTAAGTCTTCTGGCCGGCCCTTCCATCTCCTCCTCCACCGCCGCTTCCTGCCAGCCTGGGCCTCCCGCTGCTCCCGCTGCTCATCCTCCGGCTCCCGGAGCTTCACCACCGGCCACCAGCCCCACACACGGCGGCAGCGGAACAGACTGCACCGGGGCCCCACCCCACGGCGGGCCAGCCGCGCGGAGCACAGCTCCGGGCCCCGGGCGCCCCGCACCATGTCCGGCAGCTGCAGCTCCAGCGGCCCTGCGAGGCCAGAGCTCCCTGGGTTAGGCTGGAGACCAAGGTCTCTGGGCCAGGGCAGGAGGCAGCACAGCGGGGTTGTAAGCCAGGGCGTCAGAAGTTAGCATGTGGTGGTCAGGCCCAGCGATGGACCACTCACCCCAGCCCCCACGGAAACAGGGCCAGGGGCGGGACCAGACTGCTGAAACAGCACCCCAGGCCATGGACTGGGAGTCCAGAGCAGCCCGAGGACTGAGTCAGCGACTTTGGGAAGGAATGGAGGTCGTGATGCATAGGGCTGAAAAAACTTAGTAACTAGGCCCGAGAGCAAAGTTAGTGACCGAGGGCCTGAAACCCAGGACCCGGGCTGGGTTAGAACAGGGAACCAGGGCAAGGAGGGCAGGAGTCAGGGCTAGCGAAGGTGGAGGAGGCTCCGCAGTACCGAGGAAGTCGTTGGCGGAGATGCGGTCGTAGTCCCAGGCCTGCAGGACCAGCGGGGCGGGCGGCGGGAACTCGGCCTCTTCCAGCGCGAAGGGTCCGGCCGGCTCCGTGGGCAGGTAGTCGAAGGGAACACGAAGCGCCAGGTGAAGTTGCCCTCCCCGGTCAGAGAGTTGAAGTGCACGTCTGTCTCCTGCTTGTCCTGCTCCAGCCCCTTCACCCAGCTGGAGCCCAGGGGAGGCGAGGGGCCCTCTGAGGGCATCAGCTGGGACCAAGCCCAGAACCCAGCCTGCCCCTGCGCACCCACCATGCCAGGCCCTCCCCCCAGCTCCAGGCATCTTAGAGGGCCCGGCCCCAGGGCCCAAGCCCCAGCTGGCTGTCTCACCTGAGGATGCAGGTGTTTGTGCGGCCCAGCGGGCAGGCCTACCTTTTCACGTAGATGTCACTGGACATCTCTCCAGTGAGTGGGTTCACGTCACCCAGAACCACATCCTCCGTGTTCCAGATGATGACTCTGAGCTCATAACTAGGGGTGTTGAGCAGGGGAGGAGGAAGGGAAGAGGGGAAGAGGGGTGATTCAGATTCTTGAGAGGAGTCCTGGGAAGGGCTTCGGGAAGCAGGATGGACCTGGGCCAGGGTCACTGACATTCACTGATCGGGCTGCTGTGGTCCCATGAAGGGTAAGGATCACTGACCAGCAGATGACACCCAGCATGGTTTGCTGACCCAACTGAACCAGCAAGGTTCTCCCTCCCATAAATTTGGGATTAAATCCTGAAAAGTTGAGTCATGTAGCATCATATGCAGGGTTGGAGCCACAGTAAGCCAAGTGACATGCAGCCTGAGAAAGCCAGACTGCACAGAGAAGAGGGAGTAGAGGCAATGGCAGCATACAGCACCTGGGGGACAAAAGGAGGGGCTGCAGCATTCTCGTTCCTACCCAATAGCCCTGGCCTTGGCTGTCATGAGGTGTCCTAGGTACCTTTTCTCTTGCCCAATATCAATTTCCCCTCATTTGTTGAATGCACCCTGATTTTCTGTTGGTGACACACACCCCCCTCCCCACTACTGTTAATCTGTGTGATTCTGTTAGGGTAGACAGACCCCCCTACCTGGCCCAGAGGGGGTACCTCACCCTAGGACATCACCCAGCACTGACCAATCAGTTACAGTCCCATGACCACACTGAGTGGTTCAGAGATCAGCGCTTGACGCAAGCTGGCCCAATGAGAGTCACCCTGAGACTTGTGCTCAGTTGGAAACGAGGTGTGTATTTTTCTGCTCACGTCATCTAGTTGGTCAGATGTAGACCTGGCACCATTAGGAGCCTCCCTGCCCTCAGACTGTGAAAGTCTCCCTGAGAGTGGCACCAAGGAAAGCAGAGCCCAAAGGTGCAAAGTGACAGATGACTGGCAATATCTTAAGTGCATGCACACCACACAACACTCTACCCCTATCGCTCAGGGCAGAAGAGGGCTTATTGGTATTGGAAGTGATGGACACCCAACCCACAGCAGCTGATTAAAAAGGGGTGGGGAGCCACCAGCATGGCTCAGTGGTTGAGTGTTGACCTATGAACCAGGAGGTCACAGTTTGCTTCCCTGTCAGGGCACATGCCCATGTGGGGCAGCCAATCGATGATTCTATCATTGATGTTTCTATCTCTTTCTCCCTCTGAAATCAATAAAAATCTATGTTAAAGGGGGGAAGGATTTAATGGCTCACCAATTGAAAAGCCTGTGTCAACAACCCCTGCCTGCTTCAACGGGGTCTCAGGTGTTTGGAAGGCCCTTTGGCAGGTAGTCCAAGATGTGCCCACCCCATGGGAAGAGGGGCCAGGACTCTCTCACCTGATTGGCTGCCGAGGCTTGATGTCAACTGGGGGTGGCGCAGGCACATTATGGGGGAAGATGTCAATCCACATGTGAAGGGATCCCTGTGAAGTGAAACCAAACTGTAGGATCTTGCTGGGGTTCCTACCTCCCCCAACAACCCTGTGCCACAGGCTGTGCCTTGCCCCAGGTGGAGAGAAGAGCTGGGGTCAAGAGGGAATGGCTGAGCCCAGCCAGTGTGGCTCAGTGGGTGAGCATGGACCTATGAACCAGGAGGTCACAACTGCATTCTCGGTCAGGGCCCATGCCTGTGCCTGGGTTTCAGACTCAATCCCCAATAAGGGGCATGCAGGAGGCAGCCGATTAGTAATTCTCATTATTGATGTTTCTCTCCATCTCCCCTCTCCCTCTCTAAAATCCATCAATATATATTAACATATGTATTAATTATTTTTTTTTAAAGAGGGCATGGTTGGTCAGATCCTGGGTAGTGAGGACGAAGGTGGAGTCTGAAATGGAGGTTATGTTAGGGGTTGAGGCCCCAGAAGTGGAAGGTTGAGAGAAAAAGTTCGATCTGGTATTTTCGAGGTCCAGATCCTAATGACCTGGTCAGCTTGGGAGTGCCAAGTGTGAGACTTAGTGGCCCAGGGGTGGGAATCCTTCAGGACCAGAGTCAGGGGAGGGGTATGAGGTCCAGGAAGGAGATCCAAGACTGGAGTGGGAATGCTGGGGACCGGGTTCAAGAGCCAAAATCAGAAGCGGTAGTGCAGTGCCCAGATGGAGGTCTTAGGAAATGGGCATCCTGTGGGCCCAGGGTGCAGGACCAGCTGGGAGTCCTGGGGTTCTGGAGTTGGGTGCTAAGCCCTCCCTTACCTGCAGCAGCCCTGGGCTGCGGGGATGGTACAGGGGCCGTGTTTCTACATGCTCAGGTACCAGCTGGATCCCAAAACCTGGCATCTCCTGCCAGCACCACAGCACAAACAATGCCTGGGCCTCCTCAGGGACCTCACTTGCCACGTTAGGTTCTCGTCTGCCTGCAACAAAAGGTGTGTGAGGTTGAGTTCCACTCAGCTCCCAGCTCTCCTCCCTCCCTCCCCCACCCTTCAATCAAAGCTCTGAGCTGAAGCAGCTGTTTGGTGGACAAAGTCTATGGGCTGGGGGCGCAAGTCCACAATGCACAGAAAGTAGGATGCTGCTGCTAACACCCCTTTTGTCAGTGAAAAGCCAGCAGTCAAGAGGACAGTGCGATAGGAGGGGTGGTGGCTTTTGCATAGTCACTGCTTATAGACAGACCACCAGCCATTTATGAGGCCTGAGCTCAATTCTACAAGCACGTTCTGTTGTAGGGGACCCCTGATGGACCACCTGTGTTCTGGGAACAGATTAGCTATTCTGGGGTCCACTGTGGCTCTTTGATGATCTCACACTCACCAATAAAGACCATTTTCTCCCCACATCCAAGAACCTCCTCCTTACTTAGCCAGACTCACCTCCTGTTTGCAGAAGGCAGCAGGCTCTTTGGGGGACACACTAGCCTGGGCACCAGGGGTCCCCTACACCTTGTCCTACCATCTTGCTCACTCTGGGCCATCCGGCAGGGAGGGACTGATACCTGGGGGCAGGGTCTCAGGCGGTGTCGGGAAGACTTTGCTGCCCACCTTGACTGCCCCGGCTCGGTATTCAGGGGCGGGGAGGCCACAGCGTTGGCATAGCCCCGCCAGGATCTGCGAAGGCCGGAATGCATCGCGCCAGGCATTGTACCCATCCCTGCAGGCAGGAAGGGAGTACGCCTCATGTGGGGACAGCCATGGACATAGCTGGGCTCAGGGGCAGGGGTGGGACCCTTGAAGACATGGGATCCAGGTCCATATCCTGATGGAAGTCAGCTTAGTCGTTGCTATGGTAACCATGAAAATAAAAATGTATGCCAGGTGCTCCTGTGAAGGAGATACTAGTATTGTATTATGACCTCCATTTTGAAGATGAGAAAACTGAGGCTTAGAGAAGAAAGGTGAATCATTAGTTACAGGATCCCAACTCCCAAGCCCAGATCTTGACCACTGAGCTTTAATGTCTCGGTCATGGAGAGGTTTCCTTGCATGAAATCAAAGGGTCTGCAGACTCTAGTGGAAATGTGAAGTTGAATGTCTTTGGAAAGACTAAGAATGGCTCTGAGGGCCCTGCAGACTCACACGTCATACTGGGAGGCCAGCCCACAGTTCGCCCCGTGGTGGCTATAGAACCGGTTTTCCAGGTCATTGTGGGTCTCCCCGATGAGGTCGTCAGACCCGACGAGGTCATGGTCAAACACAGCCACAGTCAGCTCTGGCTCAGCAGGGAGAGAGATGCTGAGCTCCAGGACCCTGGCCAGGAGGGAGAATGGCTGAGGACACCTCCACGCCCCAGGAAGCTGTCTGATGTGGGTAGGAGTTTCAGGAGTCTCAGAAGCTTCTGTCCATTCTCCCACCATCAGCACATAAGCTGCCTGAGCATGAGTCAGACCACTCATGTCAAAGTCACTCCCCAAAACCCAGGGCCCAGCCTCACTCTCCAAAGAGTGGGAGTGGGGAGTTACCAAGGAGAGATGTCCCTCCAGAAGAAGTTAACTAGAGGTTGTCCAAGATGACTTTTATTTGATTTTAAATTAATTGTGAAATACCTAAGACATATAAATAGGTATAACAAAAAATACAAGGAATGAAAGAAAATATATGAGATATGCATAGGGCTTCTATTCAATTTATAACTTTTCGTATTGTTTGACTTTTATTTTTTACAATGAGCATATTGATTTCCAGAGGGGAAGGGAGAGGGAGAGAGAGAGAGAAACATCAATGATGAGAGAGAATCATTGATCAGCTGCCTCTTGCATGCCCCACTCTGGGGATCGATTCCGCAACACAGGCATGTACCCTGACCGGGAATCAAACCGTCACTTCCTGGTTCATAGTTAAAATTAAGAATTTTAGCCAGGACCGGTTTGGCTCAATGGATAGAGCGTCGGATGGGGACTGAAGGGTCCTGGGTTCGATTCCGGTCAAGGGCATGTACCTTGGTTGTGGGCATATCTCCAGTAGGGGGTGTGCAAGAGGCAGCTGATCGATGACTCTCTCTCATCGATGTTTCTAACTCTCTATCTCTCTCCCTTCCTCTCTGTACAAAATCAATAAAATATATATTAAATTAAAATTAAGAATTTTAACTAAATAAAAGAATAGGACAATGAGCATATGTGCCCAGCTTAATTAATAAAATTCTGCTACCCAGACAGAGTGGCTCAATGGTTGAGTGTCAACCTATGAACCAGGAGGTCACAGTTTGATTCCCCATCAGGGTACATGCCTGTGTTGTGGGATCAATCCCCAGAGTGGGGCATGCAAGAGGCAGCCGATCAATTATTCTCTCTCAGAATTGATGTTTCTATCTCTCTCTCCCTCTCCTTTCCCCTCTAAAATAAATAAAAAATATATTTTTATAAAAAAGGAAATTACTTTTTCTATTTTGATAGCTATATAACTTAGTATAACATGCATAAATTATTCAAGTATAATTTATGTACAGCAACATATTTTAGTGGTTTTTACACTGCTGCCTGCTAGGTATGGGAATTCCAGATTCTCCACATTTTGCCAACACTTGGTATTGTCAATCTTCTTTAATTTAGCCTTTGTAGTGTATGTGACATTGTAGCTCATTGTGGTTTTAATTTACATTTTCTGATGACAAAGCATGTTGAGCATCTTCCCATGTGCTTATTGGCCTTATGTAGATTTTCTTTTGTGATGTGACTGTTCACATCTTTCGCTCCACCATTGAGCTTATCGTTTTAAATATCACTATGAACAAGAAGTCAGGAGACCCCAGCTCTAAATTCTGGTGCTGCCATGAGCAAGCTTTGTAACTCTGGGGAGTCTCTAAACGTTGTGCCTAAAATTTCCCACCTGAAAATAAAGAAGGTGAACTCTGATGCCCAAGGTTCCTCCAAATCCTTCCGTCTATAGGTTTTACATATTGTTACCTTTGCTGGAGGCATGCTGGGGTGATGGGTGCTCACCTTTACGACATATACTCTCACCAAGAGCTTGACGGGCCGGTTTTGTGGGATTCCCCGGGAGATTTTGGGCCCCCAAAACAGCCTTGCCTCTGATTCAGGATAAATGAGGAAGGAGCCCTGGAGTGCAGGGAGGACAGACAAGGCCCCGGTAAGAGAGTCTTCCTCCCGCATCCCCGCCTATGCCTCCCGGCCCCCTCTTCACTCCCTCTCCAAGCACACCTTAAACTTGCCCACAAGATGGCCAGCCCCTTCTCCCTCTCCATCTCCTCCTGACCCCCTGGCCCTCGGAACAGTCTTCAAAGTGGTTAAACTCTTCCTCCAGGGACCTGCTGTAGATCTGAAAGGCATGGGCCTCAGTGACAGCCCCATGTCCAGAACCCAAACAGAACCTCCTCCGCCCAGCACACAGTCACCTTCAGAGTGGCGATTGCTGTTTTCCGGGACATGGAATCTTTGACGTCAGCCTCACCCTGGTCCTGGGCTTCCCCATCCACGGAAGTGACATTGACCCCTCCTGAGAACAGCAGAATCCCCAATTAGAAATACTGGTGTCAGGGGAGGAGGGAACACAGAGAGCAAGAGCCAGAGGGCTAAATATCTTACCTGAATCCCCAGGATCATCCATTTCATCTTCATCAAAGTTGGGCTGAAATCAAGGGTCAGGTCAGAGATTCTGCCCCACCCCTCACCTCCTTAATCTACCCTTCTCTGGGATAGGAAGTCCAGAAACTTCAAGTTCCAGCTGGGTAAGCCCTTTGCAATTTCAAAGCTTCAGTTTATCATCCAGTCCTGTGCTGTCCAAGACGGGAACCCCCGGCAGCTTGTGTCTGTTGAACCCTTGAAATGTGGCTAGTCCAAACTAAGATAGCTGTAAGCGTAAAATGCACACTACATTCCAAAGACTTGGTGTAGAATAATGATGTAAAATATCCCATCAATCTCACCACTAATTTTTATAATAATTACTTGTTAAAGTTACTTTTAGATGGATTAGGTTAAATAAATGTTATAAAAATTAATTTCACCTGCTTTCATTTATTTTTTTTTTTAAAGGTGGCTCCTACAAAAGTTAAAATTATGTTAGTGGCTAACATAATATTTTTATTGGATAACAGCTCTGGATAATGGAGTTAAATAACCCTGAGTTTCTAGAATTGTTGTGGAGATGAGAAAAGATGACTATAATAAAGAGATCTGAGCTCCACATTCAAAGAGATTCTACCTCTTGCCATTTACCCTCCTCTCCCTCCATCCCCTGCCTGGGGCCCTCCCCTGCCTCCATCTGCCCCCGGAGCTCCTGCAGAGAAGCGTAGTACTTGGACCACCAGTCGAGCTCTTCAGGATCCGGGATGTCCTCCTCCAGCTCTGGGCCTTGATTCAGAAGGCCATTCAGGGGGAGCTTCTTCCGAGGATCCTGAGAAAGAAAGAATTCAGCAGACCTAACCCAGTACCACCCCCAGTCTGGCCATCCTCTCCTCCACACATCTCCCAAACGCCATCACCTTCGGGAGCCGCCTGGGTATCCCGGCTTCAACCAATAAGGGATCCAGGGACGTCTGTCCTGGGAGAGAGGGAATGAGATCAGGGGGTCAGGCGAGGAGCAGTCAGACTCCATGCCCCATCAGAAGGCTCCTGGAGCCATCTCGGCCTGGAACCACGGGCTTCGATCTGGTGGTCCCTAAGAGAAAACCTCTTACCTTCATGTTCCTTGGGCTCCAAGACCCCTGTCTCCTCGTCTCCTCCCTCCTCCGGGGGGTCCTCATGACCCCGGAGTGTGAATCGCATCATGTGGGGAACAATGTGGGAACCCACAAGCACCATCCGGCCAAAGGCCCGGCGTTCAATTACCAGGATGCTGAGGGGAGGCTGCAGGTAAGGCCGCTCTGGCAAGTCCTAGGGGTGGGGAGAGAGGGGCAGCGGCAGAGACAGGTGGAAAACCAGAGATTTAAATCTGCATTCTTAGCCCAGCTCTGCCACTACCTCAGGGTGTCATCTGGTAAGTCCCTGCCTTCTGAGCCTGTTTCCCAGCTAAAAAGAAGAGACACAATCCTGGATTTGAAAGATTTGTAAATATCAAGTGACATCATAGATACAAAAATACTTTGGAACCTACAAAGTGCTATAAAAAAAAATGTGAGGTGCTTGTTATTATTATTATGGAAAGGACCCATGTTCAATTTATTTATATAAATTTAGAATCCTAAAAATATGTATGCCCATGAATTCTATATCTATCAATAGATCCTAAATGGGAGGAACAATAATCATAATACTCCATTGCTGGGCTTATTTTACATGTATGTGACAATTATAGCATGAAGTAGGGAGGAAGAAATGGAGCTATAATGGAGAAGAGTTTCGATATTCTACTATAGATAAATTATATTGTACAAAATCAGTATGCATCCTGGCCCATGTGGCTCAGTTGGTTGGGTATTGTCCCATGCACCAAAAGGTTGCTGGTTCTATTCCTGGTCAGGGCACATGCCCAGATTGGAGGCTTAATCCCTAGAAGGGGGCATTCAGGAGGCAGGAGATCAATGTTATGCTCTCACATCGGTGTTTCTCTCTTCCTCTTTCTCTAAAAATCAAAATAAAATCTTTTTTTAAATCAGTATGTGTATCATAATCCCCAGAGCAACAACTAAGTAAAAATCAAAAAAGAAATTAAAGTAGTATACTAAATAACTATCTATTTAATACAAAAGAAGGTAGTAAAAGGAAGAACAAAAATATGAGACATTTGCAGAAAACAAACTGCAAAATGGCAGATGTAAACCCAACCAGAAGTTCAAATAATAAAAGTGTTTTGACAAGCTCCTAAGTGGCTTTGCAAGAATTGGACTCGAAAGCTCACACTGTAATAATTACAAATTACACAAAAAACACATTTTTCCTCTCAGCCCCTGGCATCTCAGAGACTAGAGTCTTTAAGACTCATGACCTTTGGCTAATCCGCCCATTCAGCAGAGCCAGAGAGCACCACCAGCTCTGGATACATAGGGATCAGCCATCGACAGCCTGTGAGCCAAATCTGGCCCAGTTTTTGTAAATAGAGTGTTATCGGAACACAGTCATATTCATTCATTTACTTGTCTATGTATATCTGCATGACACAATGATACAATGACAGAGTTGAGTAATCACAAACTATAAAACTATATGTGTCACAGAGCCTAAAGTATTTACTATCTGACTGACCCTTTATAGTAAGTTTGGTGACCCTTCAATTCATCTAAGATCATCAGCCTGGAGTTCACCATCCCACTGTCCTCTCTTACTTCTCAGCCCCAGCTCACGCCCTCACCACGGTCAGGTGCCTGACGAGCTCCGTGAAATTGGGGTTCCCATGGTAACTGGCCAGGACCTCAGACTCCACACAACGCCCAGCCGGCTCCAGCACCACCTGGGGCTGCTCCACCTCGAACAGATGCACATGGCCCAGGCCCCTCAGGCCCCAGAACAGCGCCTCGGGTCCGGAAGTGGCAGATTCAGGGGCCTGCGCCTGACAGAGGGACCCCCAGGGGTGGGGGGAAACAGGGAGCACACTGGGCGGCAGGGAGAGGCGGCCGGAGAGGGGCTCAGCCAGGGGTGCCAGGTCCTGTGGCTCCACGTCGCTGGGCACTGAGGGCTGCAGGGGGCAAGAGGTCAGAAGTCAAAGAGGAATCAGGCCCAAGGAGGGAAATCCTGGACTCAAGAAAGACAAATTAAGACGTGCTAGTGAAATATAAATCTCTGGATTGCGGAGAGGATGATGGCTAGGAGACAGCCCCGCATTTAGGAACAATGGGCATGTGTCTGAGGTCTGAGGATCAACCCACAGCTGCTTCTCTGGCGTTGGATGAGCCTAGGCCAGTGGTCGGCAAACTCATTTGTCAGCAGAGCCAAATATCAACAGCGCAACGATCGAAGTTTCTTTTGCGAGCCAAATTTTTTAAACTTAAACTTCTTCTCACGCCACTTCTTCAAAATAGACTCGCCCAGGTCGTGGTATACTGTGGAAGAGCCACACTCCAGGGGCCAAAGAGCCGCACGTGGCTCGCGAGCCACGGTTTGCCGACCACGGCCCTAGGATATGTCTACTTCTAGCGTTCCCTGGAGTCTGGAGGTCTGCTGAGGTGACCCCAGGACAGATTTGCAGCCTGCATTCTCTTGGGACGAGAGATCTGGGGTGGCCCCGGATAAGCCCATCTTATATATCCGCTGGGGCTGGACAAGCTGATGGAACAACAAGAGGAACCCACAGCTCATGGCACGCTGACCTCAAGTCGGCCACTGTAGTCCAGCTCGATGAGTTCAAAGGTGGCGATGAGCTCTCCGGCCGCCCGGGGCCCCTTCCTCAGGGGGAAGAACTGCAGCTCAGGGCGCTGGTAAGGGTCCTCCAGCAGCTTCACCCTCGGGGCAGCCGGCGCCCGGCCCAGGAACACAGGGGGGCCCTGCGGGGAGCAGGCCAGTGGAGACAAAACTGGAAGAGGCCCTGGAGCCAGGGGAGGGGGCATCAACACAAGCGGGGGTGCTTGGGGCAGGAAGCCAGGGGAGGCCCACGCCGCACTCACAAACTTATTGTGGTCGAAGACATTGACGATCGCCAGCGGCGGCTCCTGGTGCAGGTGCTCCCTCCGCCCGTCCACGATCAGCTGGTCAAACACCAGCAGCTCGTCCCACAGGGGGCTCAGCGTCTGCTCCAGGACCTTGGGGCCAGGCAGGGGAGGAGGCAACGGCAGGCATCAGAGAAAGGCTCCCAACACACGTCCCCGCTGAGCACAGCGGCCCTAAAGCAACACTTTGAATGGCAGCTCGTCACAAAAGGAGTGGGAGCCGAAACCGGTTTGGCTCAGTGGATAGAGCGTCGGCCTGCGGACGGAGAGGTCCTGGGTTCGATTCCGGTCAAGGGCATGTACCTGGGTTGGTTGTGGGCACATCCCCAGTAGGGGGTGTGCAGGAGGCAGCTGATTGATGTTTCTCTCTCATCGATGTTTCTAACTCTCTATTCCTCTCTCTTCCTCTCTGTAAAAAATTAAAAAAAAAATGTATATATATATATATATATATATATATATATATATATATATAAAAGATTAAAATATATATATATTCGGCTGAAACCGGTATGGCTCAGTGGATAGAGCATCGGTCTACGGACTGAAAGGTTCCGGTTTGATTCCGGTCAAGGGCATGTACCTTGGTTGCAGGCGCATCCCCAGTGGGGGGTGTGCAAGAGGCAGCTGATCGATGTCTCTCTCTCATCAATGTTTCTAACTATCTCTCTCCCTTCCTCTCTGTAAAAAAAAAAAAAAATCAATAAAATAAATATTTTTTAAAATAAAGTCTTTAAAAAAAAAAAAAAAAAGGAGTGGGAATGTGACGGAGAGGATAGCACCCTTCGGACCGGTGTTGGCGCCTGCCGCCCAGCCCTGGGCTCTGCTCACTGCAGCCGTCACCCTCAGAGCTTGTCTTAAAGCCAAGCCCAGGAAACAGCTCCTCCCTCCTCAGACAGCCCATGCTACACCACCCTGCAAATCAGAGCTTCTGTCCTGAAAACCCAGGGCAGGAAGAGAGACGTGGGGCCTGGGGAGAAAGCTCGCCGCCCACCTGACTGTCTCCCACAGCCCCCGCCGCCCGCACCCCCGCCCACACCCCCGCCCAGCCTCACCCGGGTGGCCTGGCACTGCGTGGAGACGAGGACGCGAGCGAAGGGGTCCGACAGCCCGCTGCCATCGGCGGCCAGCACGCCGCGGGCCTGGTGCAGGTGCGCCCGGAGCTGGAAGTAGCTGAAGTCTGGCGTCGGGGAAAGAAGGGGCCATGTTTGCTCAGGGATCACAGGAGCCCGTGACTGGACCCCGCTGAGCCCCAAGCCGGGCACAGCCCCACATGTTGGGCCTCTCGGTGCCCCACCCCCGCCCAGCACTCACCGCCCGGTGCAGGCTCCGAGGCAGCCCTGCGGAGGAGGGCAGCAGGTCCTGGGGGAGCGCCGAGGTGCAGGCCTGGCTTGCTTGCCCAGGCCCAGCCACAGGAAGAGCGCCAGCTTGGCACACACCTCCCCCGGCGCCGCCCCCGGGGCCTGGTGTGGGGAAGAGGCACCTGTCAGGGCCCAGCTCTCTCTCTTTTTTTTTTAATTTTTAAAAAATATATTTTATTGATTTTTTACAGAGAGGAAGAGAGAGAGATAGAGAGTTAGAAACATTGATGAGAGAGAATCATCGATCAGCTGCCTCCTGCACACCCCCTACTGGGGACGTGCCCGCAACCAAGGTACATGCCCTTGACTGGAATCGAACCTGCGACTTTTCAGTCCACAGGCCGATGCTCTATCCACTGAGCCAAACCGGTTTCGGCGTGGCCCAGCTCTTATCATCCCAGCTACACCAACAGCCCTGCTCCCCCGGGAGGACCCCTACTTTCCTCACTGCCAAACGAAAGCCCAGGTCCCTGATCCAATATCCATTCCCTGTGCCTCACCCTTACACCCACGTCATGCCCTCTACTCAATCCATACCCGTTACCCTGATACTCCATGTTCCTCCTCTACCCCAACCCCCAAAACTGCACTCTGAGCCCCACACTCCCATCCCCACACGCACTCCCTCTGTCCCCACAGCCCACACACGTTTGGGTTCCCGACCCTTATCCCAGTGGTCACAGCTCCTCACCATCGGGATCCCTGTGGCATCTTTTCCAGGGACACTGCCTTTAGGAATATTTTGCCCCCAAACCAGCTGTACTTACAAGGAACTAATGAGTCACGCTCCCGTTTTCATTGCCATGCCCATCTGTCAGAGCCCAGTCAGCACACGGCCCCTGCAGGTCCAGGGCTGACAAAATTTATCTCATATCAAAGCTGGCCTGGGTAAAGGCACAGCCTCCTTTTGGCTTTAGAATGAGTGAAAAGAGTTTTGGTATACTTGCAAAAATTGTAAAAAAATTAAAATAAATTTGCCCCGGTTGGTATGGCTCAGTGGTTAGAGTGCAGGCCTGCACAGGTTTAATTCCCAGTCAAGAGCATGTACTTGAGTTGCAGGTTCAATCCCTAGCCCTGGGTTGGAGTGCATGTGGGAAGCAATCAATTGATGTGTCTCTCTCACATCGATGTTTCTCTCTCTCTCTTCCCCTCCCTCCCTTCACTCCCTTTAAAAGTCGGGGAGGGGGGGATGTCCTCAGGTGAGGATTAACCAAAAAATTTTTTAATTGTCTAAAAATATTTGGGGATCCCCCCCACCAAATTGGGAACCACAGGCCTTTGCCTCATGACCTCTTGCTTTATGAGCCTTTCTCCACTCCAGTCTCCAGCACCCTCACCCCAGGACCCACTCACTGTGAGCAGCAAACTCTGGATCTTCCCACAGTCCTGGCCTCGTTCCTCCTCAACCACAGAGAACAGCACGTCCTGGGCTGGGATCCGGGCGCAGGCCACATGGCGCCGCCCACTGAGCATCCAGACCAGCACGTCAGGGAGGGGTGGCTGGGGCTGTGGGCAGAGAACTGGGTCACCAGGTAGATTTGGAGCTGAGACCATGTGTTCCCACAGCTTCCACAGATGGACAGGCCAAATATCCATCTCCAGGCTGCAATTACCCATCATATATATGTAATTGATTTCAGAGAGGAAGAGAGGGAGAGGGAGAGAGAAAGAGGGAGAGGGAGAGGGAGGGAGGGAGGGAGGAAGGGAGGGAGGGAGGGAGGGAGAGAGAGAGAGAGAAAGGGAGAGAGGGAGGGAGGGAGGGAGAGAGAGAGAGAGAGAGAGAGAGAGAGAGAGAGAGAGAGAGAGAGAAACACCAATGATGAGACTGAATCATTGATTGGCGGCCTTTGGCACACCCCCTACTGAGGATCAAGTCTACAACCCAGGCATGTATCCTGACCAAGAATCAAACAATGATCTCCTGGTTCATAACTCGATGCTCAACCACTGAGCAATACTGGCCAGGCTGATATTACCCATCTTTTAACTCTGTGTACTTTTTTTCCTTTTTTTTTATTAAGGTATTATATGTGTACATATCTTACCATAGCCCCCACTCCATGTATTTTTGTGGCTTGAAGGTAGCAAAGTTGTTTTTTTACACAGATAACAGAGAGCAATAAACATAAAAGAAAAATTATTGCCCGGAAGGTGTGGTTCCATGTTGAGCATCCATCCAGGAACCAAGAGGTCACTGATGTGATTCCCAGTCAGGGCACACGCTCAGATTATGGGCCCAATCCCCAGTAGGAGCGTGCGGGAGGCAGCAGATCAATGATTCTCTCTCTCATCATCAATGTTTCTATGTCTCCCTTTCCCTTCCTCTCTAGAATATGAATACACACACACTTATATATATATAATTTTTTTTAAAGAAGTAGACCCCAGCCCTGGCCAGTTTGGCTCAGTGGATAGAGCGTCAGCCTGCAGACTCAGGGGTTTTGAGTTCTATTCCGGTCAAGGGCATATGCCTGAGTTGCAGGCTCGATCCCCAGTCGGGGGCATGCAGGAGGCAGTCAATCCATGATTCTATCTCATCACTGATGTTTCTATCTCTCTCTTCCTCTCTGAAATCAATAAAAATATTTTAATGGCCAGGACCAGTTTGGCTCAGTGGACAGAGCATCGGCCTGCAGACTGAAAGGTCCCGGGTTCGATTGCGGGCAAGGGCATGTACTGTGGTTGCGGGCACATCCCCAGTAGGGGTGTGCAAGAGGCAGCTGATCGATGACTCTCACATCGATGTTTCTAACTCTCTATCCCTCACTCTTTCTCTCTGTAAAACATCAATAAAAATATATTTAAAAAAATATATATATTTAAAAAAAAAACTTAAAAAAAAAAAGAAGTAGCCAAAACTGGTTTGGCTCAATGGATAGAGCGTCGGCTTGGGGACTGAGGGGTCCCAAGTTCAATTCCAGTCAGGGGCATGTACCTCGGTTGTGGGCATATTCCCGGTGGGGTGTGTGCAAGAGGCAGCTGATCGATGATTCTCTCCCATCGGTGTTTCTAACTCTCTATCTCTCTCCCTTCCTCTCTGTACAAAATCAATAAAATATATATTAAAAAAAAAAAAAAAAGAAGTAGACCCCGTAGGGTAGAAGTAGAACCCAATGATGGAATTAATAGACAAGGACATTAAAAGAATTGTGATACAAATTCTAAAGGATTTAATGGGGAAAGTACACAGAGTTAAAAGGTGGGTAATTTCAGCAAACACATGAGGACTGGAGCCCAGCAGACATCGGGAGAGCTTACGGGAGAGGGTGTTCAGGGTGGGGATGCGGGTGGGCAAGGCAGTACCTCTTGGGCCAGGAAGCACAGCTTTGCCAGGAGTTTCTTGGACAAGGTCACCTTCTCCTGTACGTTGCCCCGTCTCAGGCCCCGTAGGAGGCGCAGGCCTTGCTTAGCGAACAGGTTCTGAAAGGCAGGACAAGAACGTGAGTGGACAGCCCCGCTGTGAGCCCCAGACCCCCTCCCCGCGGCCGTACCAGGCTGTGCACCAGCAGTTTCCCTCGGCATCTGTCCAGGGCGTTGGGCCGCGTCATCGTCCTGCGCTCAGCGCTGTGGCAGAACTGCCTGCGGTGAGGAGGAGCAAGTGTGCGGTGGGAGTCAAAGGAGGGGACGCTGACCCTTACGGCCACTTCCTCAGAGCAGGCCTCCCTCACCCCGATTCCCGCAGAGCCCCCCTCAGTCTTGTCCTCAAAGAGGGGCTCTTCCTCAGCCGAGGAGGGCTCCGAACGCAGGCCACTCCCAAACTCACTGAGGCTACCTCACCTTTGAGCCCCAGAGCTCATTAGTATTTAACATTCTACTACCCTGGCTACTAAAGTGTGGGCAGGGCCAACAGCAAGGTGTCACCTGGGTAGAAATGCAGAATGTCAGTCCCAGAGCACACCTGCTGCCAGCATCTGCATGTTTACACCTCAGGATTCATAAGCTATTAAAGGCTCAGGTGAGTTGTGCTTGACATTTCCAACAAACTGACCAAACATAGTTCACACACTGCCTGCCCAAATCAAGTGCACGATTTCCAATGACTATCTCCACTCCATCACCACCCCCAAAAAAATCCTACTTTACTCCATTTCAGAGTCATTCTTCACTGCTCTTTCTTCCTCTTACATTCCACATCAATCTATTCACACTCTATTTAAGCTCTACCTTCAAAATATATCTGGAATCTGACCACTTCCTCCTTTTCCAGGACCACTCTAGCCCAACTCACCATCCCTCCTCACCTAGGAGGACTGCAATAACCTCCTACCTGCTCTCACCACTTCCACTCTTAGCCCCTCTCCTACAGCACCTTCTCAATACAGCAACCACAGGAATCTTCTCAATGCTTTCATGCCATTTCACTCCTCTCCAGAGATTTCTCATCTCAGAAGAAAAAACGCAGTTTTTTAAATGGCTTAAAGGGCCCTACACATCTGGCTCACCTTATCTCCTTGCATTAAACATTACTCCTCTCTTGCCGAAACCGGTTTGGCTCAGTGGTAGAGCATCAGTCTGCGGACTAAAAGGTCCTGGGTTCAATTCCGGTCAAGGGCATGTACCTTGGTTGCAGGCACATCCCCAGTGGGGGGTGTGCAGGAGGCGGCTGGTCGATGTTTCTCTCTCATTGACGTTTCTAGCTCTCTATCCCTCTCTCTTCCTCTCTGTAAAAAAAAATCAATGAAATATATTTTAAAAAAACAAAACACATTACTCCCCTCTCATGCGAAACCCTACAGTCACATGGGCCTTTTTGTTCCTCTGTGAATACACCAAACCCATTACCACCTTTAGGGCTTTGTAATTGCAGCTTCCTCTGCTAGAAGGTTCTGCCTTAGGTCTTTGCATGGCTCACTCCCTTTCTCCATTCAGGTCTCTGCTCAAATGTTACCTCCTCACAGGCCTCCCCTGGTCAGTCTAAAAAAGCCCTGCCACTCTCTCTGTCCTCATACTCTGCCTTATCTGTCTCTTTAAATAGAGAGTAAGGCAGGGCAGGGACTTCATTTGGATGACCATTGAATCCTTAGGTCCTGCCCCCTAATAGATGCTCAGAAATGTTTGTTGAGTAAAGTAAAATACTTTATGAAATATATTTTGGAAATGTTTTTACCCCCACTGACCTAAGTTTTTATTACGGAAAATTTCAAAAATATATGGGACTCCAAAAACTTTTCACCTAATACTAATCCAAGAGCTTACACTTTTAGCTTATTACTGTTCCTTGCTCCAAAAGCAAAAAGGAATCTAGGACCCTACGAACATTTGCTATCGATTGAAAAACGACAGAAGAAGCAAGTCTTCTCGACAAGATTCAGATCCACAACACTGGATTCAGGGAAATTGGATCTAGTAGAAATAATAGCCACAAAAGAAAGCCACGTTGGTTCGCGCTATAAATAGTGAAATGTGACCTGAGCAAATCTTTCACTGAAATGTCCCTGCCCAAGGATAATTTTTGTAATAAAATAATTTCATTTAAATAAAAGTGGAAATAGTTTAGTTTTACTGTATAGAAAATCAACCAAGGAATTAAATTGAAGTAAACATGGTTGCTCTTTTGGAGCTATAGAGAATGGAGACAAAGAAGAGAGCTTTACAATGAAGCATTTGGAACATTTAGAGGTCAAGAAGAGAGGGAGCCAGGAAAATTGATGAGACGAAATGGTCAGGAATGCAGAAGGAAAACCAGAGACATGAAAGTTAACAGCAGAGATTTCCAAGAAGGAGGGTGGGTCAACCGTGTCCACTGACTTAATGGAAGATTGAGTAAGGAGAGGACAGAAAAGTGACCATCTACGGCCAGGCCCGTGGCTGAGTGTTCCTCTCCCACACTAAATGCTGCAGTTCTCAGGTCCTCAAATTTTCTTTTCTCTGCTTCCTAGGTGATCTTATCCAGTTCCATCTATGTATTTACTGCTCCAATTTTTTATTTCCAGCCTAGAACTCTCCATAGAACTCAGCTCATATAGCTAACTGCCTACCAGACATGTTCACTCATTAGTCTAATAGACATTTATGTCTAAGTAAACATATCCAAAAATGCTTTATTTTATTTTATATTTTATTGATTTTTTACAGAGAGGGATAGAGATCCAGAAACATCAATGAGAGAGAATCATCAATCAGCTGCCTCTTGCACACACCCTACTGGGGATGCGCCCGCAATCAAGGTACATGCCCTTTACCGGAATCAAACCCAGGACCTTTCAGTCTGCAGGCCGACGCTCTATCCACTGAGCCAAACCGGTTTCAGCAAAAAAAAAAAAGAGCTTTTGATATTCAATTCTATCAGAACTTCTCTTGTTTTCCGTAGCTCAGTAAATAGCACCATCTACACAATTGTGCAAGCCAACATCTTGGGAGCTGTTCAATACTCTTCTTTGCACATTGCCTCATCCTCTATATATATCCATGAGCAAGTCCTAAAATATCATCTCCAAATTGCTCTTGTATCCATTCGTGTCACTCTATGTTCACTGCAACCACCTAGATTCAATTCATCATCAGTCGCTTGGATTTTTACAATGCCTCTTTAACAATCTCTCTGCTTCCTCTCTTATGTCATCCCTCCCCCGCTGATTATTTTCAAGGATAGGTTAGAGCACATCCTTCTCTTTTCAGAACCTTTACTAGTAGTGGCTCTCCATCACACTCAGAGAAAAAGCCAAGGTCATTACAATGGTCTACAGCAGGGGTCTTCAAACTTCTCTCATTATGAGAATCACCTGGTGGAGTTGTTAAAACACAGATTCCCGGATCCCAACTATAAGAAGTGCTATCAGGAATCTGTGTTTTAACACCTCCACCAGGTGATTCTCATAATGAGAGAAGTTTGAAGACCCCTGGTCTACAGGCTCCCGTTCCTCTCTAACCATCCCCACACACACACCCTCCCGCCTTATCTATTCTGCTCACTCTGCTGCAATCACACTGCTTCCCTTGCTCCTCCTCCATCACACCAGGCATGCTTCATCTCAGGGCCTTTCCACACGGTGTCCTTTATGCCTGGAACAGCCTTACAGACATGGTTTGCTCCTTCATCTTCTTCATGTCAACTTCACAGCGGCCCACTGTCCCCCCCCTTTTAAAATCGCAACACCTGCCGAAACCTGTTTGGCCCAGTGGATAGAGCATCAGCCTGCGGAATGAAAGGTCCCGGATTCGATTCCGGTCAAGGGCATGTACCTTGGTTGCAGGCACATCCCCAGTTGGGAGTGTGCAGGAGGCAGCTGATCAATGCTTCTCTCTCATCAATGTTTCTAACCCTCTATCCCTCTCCCTTCCTCTGTAAAAAATCAATAAAATATATATTTTTTAAAAGTTAAAATCATACCTTTCTCTAATACTTCTTCCTTTATTTTCTAACACTTATCCTTACCATACTTCTTAAATTTCTACCTTTTTATTTACATTTTTCCAGCCTCCACCCCATCTCCACCACCAAAACATAAGTTTCAGGAATTTCGGTGGGCAAGAATGCTTTTTCACTGGTATTTCTATGCCCAAAACAGTGTCTGGCAAAGTAAGGGTCATGAATACTTATTGAATACATGGATTACTACCTCTTTTGAGAAGAGGATCTGAAAAACACATACCTGGAGCGTGCAGCTTATAGAATTCATTCAGATTAGTGAAGGTCAAAGATGGAAGTTACTGGGACAAGTTTATGTGGTTACGTAATGACCCGATAGCTAAGGACCACTTGACTGATCCCTCCAGTAAGGGTCAGGAGATAAAATCAAGATCACAGCCCTAGCAGGTTTAGCTCAGTGGATAGAGCATCAGTCTAAGGACTGAAGGCTCCCAGGTTTGATTCCGGTCAAGGGCACATGCCTGGGCTGCAGGCTTGATCCCCAGTAGGGAGTGTGTGCAGAAGGCAACTGACCAATGATTCTCTCATCATTGATGTTTTTATCTCTCCCTACCTCTCCCTTCCTCTCTGGAAAAAAATAAATAAATAAATAAATATATATATATATATATATATATATATATATAGTCAAGATCACAGCCGAAACCAGTTTGGCTCAGTGGATAGAGCGTCGGTCTGCGGACTGAAAGGTCCCAGGTTCGATTCCAGTCAAGGGCATATACATTGGTTGCGGGCAATCACCAGTGGGGGATGTGCAGGAGGCAGCTGATCAATGTTTCTCTCTCATCGATGTTTCTGGTTATCTATTTCCCTTCCTCTCTATGAAAAATCAATAAAATATATTAAAATAAATAAATAAATACACATAATCTTAAAAAAAAAAAAAAAAAAAGTCAGGATCACAGCCGTGGCTATGGGAGCAAGGATACTTCCTGCAATGTAGCAGGAAGGAAGGAGAGTAGAGGGACACAGAAATTGGCAAAAGTGGCAGGCAGGTTGGAGGAAGGTGAGGCTTCTATTTCATCCATGATACAGGAGAGGTTATTAGCTGGAACGAGTGTGAAGGAAAGGAGCAGGGGACATTTGAGGAGAGGAGTAAAAGCATAAGAATGTAGGAGCATGGGAAAGAAAGTTTATTAGATTGAACTAAGCCCAAACAATTTCCATCAAACTTCCTCCGTAGGGACAATCATCTCCCTCTCATTCTTCTGTAAAGCTAAGTCTGCCCTGAGTCCAAACAGCTACCACCCTGGAGTTGGCACAGACAGGCTCTCAGCTCACCTGCTCCCGGCCACCAGCTCTTCCAGCGCCTGCTTGTGTCGTGTGCAGGCGCCAGAGCCTGGCCTGCGCTGCAGACTCTCAACCTCCTGGAGCCGCTGGTCCTGCACAGCGGAGCAGAGGAGAGGGTCAGAGTCACGAAGCCGGGACTACCACCTTCTCTAGTCCACTCCCCACCCCAGGACCCCGCCCACTCACAGCCACCTCTTCGCCCCGCCCTTTTTTGTCTTTAAGGGGTTGGTGGATCTGTTTTTCCAGCACCCTACTGGGCAGGATTCCCCGGTAGCTTTACCCATGTCCTTCGCTGGCCCCTTCCTGAATCCAGCAATTCTGGATCCCTGAGCTCCCACAATTCTGCTCTCCTCAGTGCAGGCATGAGCTGTGCCCTTTGACCCTCTGGCCTTGTATCAGTCACACCTGGTCCTGGCTTCCTGTTGCTCTACCGTCTACCCATTAGCACAGCTCCAAAGCTCTTTTCAAAGACCGCGGTCTCCCGGATGCCCCCATGGGCGCCCGCCTCACTCACCAGCCTCTCTGCCACTTTCTGCACACAGTTACTGCTGTGCAGGCGCCACGTGTGATTCTCCCAGCGGTGACGCAGGGGCAGGCAAAGGTATGGCCTGGGCCGGGTGAAGAGGAGCAGAGGCTGTGAGGGGCAGTTCTGGGCCCTGGGGCCCCCCCAATGCCCTCCTTCTAGCCCCCAGAACACTCACCCGCTGCCATCCATGGGTTCAGGCCGTTGAGCTGGGATCCCCCACTCCTCCTCCACCAGCCTGACTCCCACCTCCGACTTCAGCAAAGGCTGCTGTGCCTCCTCCTTCTTGTCCTCCATTCCCTCCTGGGCCCTTGGCCCAATGGCTCCTCCCGGCCTGCGGGACCTGCCCAGACAGAACAGCAAGGCCGGTTGGCCCCTGGCTGAGGGGCTGGACCCCTCCCTCAGCCTCCTCTGCTTCAATAGAAGCCAGCATCCACCCCTTCCGGGAGCCTTAGGTCTGGAACAAGTGTGACCACCCTCACACCCGTGACCCTGCGAGGTTTCAGCGAGGCCACACACTGATGGAGATCTCGAAGACGATGGGCTGGGCGGCCATGGCGGGGTCCATCATGGTGGCCTCGAAGAGCACCCCAAAAAGTAGGAAATCGTCACAGGGCGCCAGGGCGTTCTAGGGAAGACAGCCAGGCTGGAGTCAGCCCCACCCTCCCAGGTTCCAGCCCAGACTCTGCTTGGCCAAAACGCCCACAGGAAGGTATGGTAACCAAGGCCTGGGAAGAATCACCACAGGCCCCTACCTCCCTCTTGCAGCCCTCACCCACTGGGTCTGGGGCTTAGCTCTCCAGGGCCCACCTCCCACTGATCAGTCCCGCTTCCCCACCGTGTGTATATACAAACTGCAGTCTTCACCCAGGTCCCCCAATTGAGGACCCCTCCCCCACCCCCACACCCCCACCCCCACACACACTTCTGATCTTAATGCCTGGGAGCCAGTCACGCTCCAGAGCTGAGGGGGATCCCGCTCCTTGGCTAAGCTCCGGGCCCACCTCCGGCAGCAGCAGCAATTCCTCCACTTCCACCTCCATGGCGCCGGGAACCTCGGCCCGGCAGCGCCTGGGCTGGCGTCCAGGGGCGGCTGCGTCCTCGCGGGGGTCTGGCCCGCGGGGCTTTCCTCCTCTTCCTCCCCAGGAGCTGGGACAGCCTGGAGCCCGGTGCGGCCCGGAGCGGCTCCGGCCCCGCGCTCCCTTCCAGCACCTCCACGGTCACGGCCAGCAGCAGGCGGCCGCGGAACCACACGCCCTGGCCCCGGCCTTCGTTGAGACTGTGAAGCCCATCCCGGATCCCCCCCGCCGGGGGCGAGCCGTGCAGAGGCACCCAGGCCGGGCCGAAGGTGGGGTTAAACCCCGCTGTGGGGACAAGAGCGGAGTTTGGAGAGGAACGCGGGGCGGGTGGGCACCCTCCTTTCCTGCAGGTTCCGGGGAGGGAGCGGGTGTCCGATCGGGCCTCTGGGGGGGCGTCTGCGGACAGGTGCGGGCGGGCGGACCCGGGGGACCACCACCGGGAACTTCCACCCAGCGCAGCTCCAGCGCGGCCCACAGCGGGCGGCGGGCCCTGGGGGCGGAGCCGGGGCGGAGAGGAGGGGTGAGGGCTGGGGCCGAGCTGCAGGTGATCCCTGTTCCGGGCTAGGGTGAGGTGACCAGATCGTCCAGGTGTTGGCGGGACAGTCCTGATTTCTAACAATGTTTCCCGCGTCCCGCGGCGTTTTTAAAAAGTCCCGATTTTTTGGAAACATTGGAAAGATTCTTTCAAAAAATCGGGACTTTTTTTAAACGCCGAGGGACGCGGGAAACATTGTTAGAAATCAGGACTGTCCCGCCAACACCTGGACGATCTGGTCACCGTAGGCTAGGGTGGATGGTAATGTGGATTTGCTTCGGTCCGAGTAAATCTGTGGGGAGCACAGGGCTGGCGTGGTTCCCGGACACGCAGCTTTAGTTAGGGAGCCACCAATGGTGGGGGCGGCAGGGGAGTCTCCGAAGGGAGGAGCCCTCGCGGAGCACCGTTAGTCCTAGGGGGCGGACAGGGCCCGGTGGGAGCGAAGGGCGTCCCCGGAGGCGCTCACCCGCGCGGCCCGGGTGCGAGATCTGCTGCAGGTCTAGCACGTGCGTGGCCAGGGCCACGTCGGCCAGGGGCGCGTCGTCCCGCAGCTGCAGGCGCAGGCCGCGCGTCAGCGGCGGGAAGAGCTCCACGAAGCTCAGCTGCTCGTTCCACTCGGGCGCCGCCGTCTCGCCCTGGGCGCGGGGGGACCAGCGGAGAGGGGTGGGCGCGGGGTCAGGGTCTGAGCCTCGGCCGAGCGGGGAGAGGAGGGCGGGGACGGGACAGGAGAGCCTTACCTGCTGGCCCAGGAAGGACACTCGCACGTACGGGTCCACGAGGACGCGCGGGTCGTGCAGGGCGCGGGCCAGGCCGCCCAGCAGCCCGGGGCGCAGCGCGGGGAGCCCCTCGGCGCGGTACACCCGCACCCGCAGCCGCGCCCACGGCCGCTCGGCCGGCACCCGGCGCGGCAGGAGCAGGTTCCTGGGGGAGGAGGGGCCGCTGAGAAGCCGGAACCCCCGCCCTTTACGCCCCGGAGGCCGGGCCCCCTCCTCTGCCCTCCCCCGGCGCCCCGTCACCTCTCGATGTCCGCGCTGCGCCCCGCAGGGACAGCGTGACCTGGACGAAGCCTCTGGTCCCGGCGCGCGTGTCCCGGGGGTCGTACAGCGGAGCCCATTTCCGGGGGAAGTGGCCGCCTGCGGGCCGGGGGCGGCCGGGGCAGAGGAGAAGGGCGGGCGCGGGGCGCTTAGACCGTGGCTGGGGTTCACGGCCAGCTCAGTTTGGGGGGACAGGAGTGTGGGGAGGCCGGCGCCCTGACCAGCACCCGCGCCCAGACACCGTCAGTTTCCCGTGGCCCCGCAGGCCAGTTTCGGTGGGGGACCGGCTCAGTACCTGGCTGATCGAAGAGAATGCCCAAGTCCATCCTGAAGGTGCCGATCCGGGTGGCCATAAAGGGGAGGGCCTGCGAGTGGAAAGCCTGAGGGGAGTGGCGTTAGGCCTGGAGGTTCGGCACCACACACACACACACACACACACACACACACACACCCCCGCCCCTTGTCTAACAGAAACCTCTCACCCCAACCCCCTCACCGTAATCTCCAGCAGCAAATCTTGGAGGTGAAGTCGGGTCTCATGAAATTCGAACAAGAAATACTGGGTTGATGTGGGGAAACAAGAAAGATGAGAGGTTATATGTGAAAGGTCCACACCAGCGGGGCTCTGCCTCTTGGGGGGAAAAAATGCTCTACTGACACCTACACCCCCACCCCCACCCCACAGCTCCTCTGGGCACCCTTTCCTGTTGAACTTTAGGCCCAGCACTTGACTCACGTCCACCTAGGCCAGTGTTTCCCAAACTTCTGACATATGTGTACCCCTTCTATAATTTTCGTAACACTGAGTACCCCTCCTACTCATGAGAATGTAGAATTAGGCGCAGCTAAGCATGGTGCAGTGCGTAACCCCACCAAACTCCGGTGCAACGCGTACCCCCACCAGACTCTCCCCGTACCCCTGGGGGTATGCGTACCACACTTTGGGAAACACTGGCCTACGCCATGAGTGGTCAGCAAACTCATTAGTCAACAGTCCCAAATATCAACAGCACAGCAATTAAAATTTCTTTAAAACCTAAACTTCTCCTAACACCACTTTCTCAAAACAGGCGCGCCCAGGCCGTGGTATTTTGTGGAAGAGCCACACTCAAGGGGCCAAAGAGCCGCATGTGGCTCGCGAGCCGCGGTTTGCCGACCACAGGCCTAGGCCGTGCTCCCCCTGCATGGGTCCCCTCTGTTCCCTTAGGCCTCCCTCCATCTAGGTCCCGCCACCTCGTTGTAGAAAGGGCAGTTTGTCCCCCGCTGCGTAGCGGTCACTCGGCGCTGCTCCCCAACACGCACCGCCACGTAGGGGTTAATGTTGACCCCCACCAGCTTCTGGGCCTCCAGCACGGTGACCCCCACCTGGAGGGTGCAGAGGAGGAGATGAGGAAGACAAGCCTACCGAGGGCAGGGAGGGCGGGAGGGGAGGGGGGATAACCTCGGGGTGAGGGCAGGGGGAGGAGTACCTGGAAGTCCTGGGCCCTGGGCACCTGGAAGGGATCCCTCCGGGACAGGCCCCGGGTCCGGCTGAGGGGAGGGACACGGTCAGGCATCGCTTCACTTCCGCCCACCCCCACACCCCCGGTCTTGTTCAGCCCCGGAGGCAGATGTCTTCTTCCTCTGAACTTTAGGATTTTGAATCCTTCTGGTCTCATCTTGCCCCCATCTCAACACCCAGAATTTGATTCATTCCTGGGGCTCTAAAACCATTCACTCATTCATTCAACAAAGATTTATTGAGGCCGAAACCGGTTTGGCTCAGTGCATAGAGCATCGGCCTGCAGACTGAAAGTTCCCGGGTTTGATTCAAGGGCATGTACCTCGGTTGGTTGTGGGCACGTCCCCAGTAGGGGGTGTGCAGGAGGCAGCTGATCGATGTTTCTCTCTCATCGATGTTTCTAACTCTCTATCCCTCTCTCTTCCTCTCTGTAAAAAATCAATAAAATATATATATTTTTTAGAAAAAAGATTTATTGAGGACCTCCTATGGGCCAGCACTCGCCTAGGCACTGGGACAGTGCAGTGACAAAAGACACAAAATGTCTTGCCCTCATCAAGTTTTCCTCACCTGCCCGGGCTCCCTAAGCAGCATGTAGGTCAGTATACCTGTGTGTCTGTGTGGCCATGTCTACGCCGAGGAGTAAGTGACCATTAACCCCAGGACACCCATTCCTCACCCATATCCTGGAGCCTAGAATTTGTGAGAATGGATGGACACTGGGCCTGCATGTCTGAGCAAGTGAGGCGGACACACTGGTGGGTGCGGGCGCAGGTGTGCAGGACGTACGAGTTACCTCTTGAGGGGACTGAGCACGACGCCAGAGAGCTCCACCTCAGGCTCATCTTCCAGCTCCAGCTCCAGCTCCAGCTCACTGTCCTCATCGTCCTGCTGAGCGAGGCCTCGAGCGAGCCTGCGGCCCAACGCCACGGCCTGCCGCTCCAGCCGGCCTCCTCAGGCCTGAGAGGAAGGGCCCTCAGGGACATGTCTGGGACCTCACACATGTCTCTGGGTGCCCCTTAACTTCCCTGACCCTGGAACTGACCTCTGACCCTAAGACTAACCCCCTCTGATCCCAGGACTGACCCCTAACCTGGGGCATTTCTAGTTCCAGAATTCACTCCTGATTCTGGGACTGACTTCTGACCCTGGAATTGATCCAGTGTTCATCCCAGACCCCGGAACTGACCCCCATCACTGGTTCTTCATCTAAAGGGTGGCCTGGTGACCCAAGGTCATCCCCACAAACTTACTCTAGCTCCTGGAAACCCACGTTGGGGATGACCAGCTCCGAGCTGGGAAGGAAAAGGAAAGGGAGGAAATGAAAGGGCCCGGCCTGAGTACAGAGCTGCAAGCTGGGCAGCAGGAGTGCCCAGGTGCCATAGCCCGCAGACCCAGAGTGGAACTGAGTACCACGTCTCCCTTCCCAAGGCCGATCTGGGCTGGAGGGTGATGACTTACCTGTCCCTAGTGGGTGTCCCAGGGTCGTCCTCTGCCCAGGCTCCAGGTGCACCCTCTGGGGGCTGGTACTTCAGGTCAAGCTCCACCTGGATCTGCAGCAGATACACCGTGTGCCTGCCGCAGGGCCCCCCAAACTGCCATGGGGCTAAGAGAAGCCCAAGGACAATGCCTTTCACTCCTCCGGCTGGCCTGCATCTGTGGTGACCTGTGATTCCTCTCTGACCGTTACTGATATTGACTACTCACAACCTGTTAGCAATTTACCATGTGCAAGTTATCTCTCTCTTTTTTAAAAATATATTTTATTGATTTTTTTTTTTACAAAGAGGAAGAGAGAGGGATAGTTAGAAACATCGATGAGAGAAACATCAATCAGCTGCCTCCTGTACCCCCGCCCCCCCCGGGGACGCACCCGCAACCAGGGCACATGCCCTTGACGGGAATCCAACCCAGGACCCTTCAGTCCGCAGGCCGACGCTCTAGCCACTGAGCCAAACCGGTTTCGGCGCAAGTTATCTCTTGAAGGGGCCAAACAGGACTCCAAAACTCTCTCATTGCCCTGGGAAACCCATTACCGTGGCCTTCACAGCTGAGCGTGGTCCGGCCCCTGCAAAGCTTTTCAGCCCCAGCTCTCAGGATCTGCTCCGGGCCTGCCCTCCAGTTATGTACCGTCAGGGCACTGGGACTTTTGCCCTCGCCAGTTCTGCCCGGAACAATCTCTCCTCTTAGCTAACTCCTGCCATCCTCATTCCCACGCGCAGGCACTGCTTCCTCCACAAAGACCCCATCCCTCTGTTATACCCTCTCCAAGCCCCCTGCCAGCTCTTGTGTAAGACTGGCCAGTGGCAATTTTACTCTTATTTGTGTGGGAATTTGTGTCATATTTGCCTCTTTTAGCTACAGAGCTCTAAGAGAGCACATGGTTGTCTGGCTTCGCTCACCACTCAGTCCTCATCGGTCAGCGCAGCCCTTGGCTTATGATGCCAGTTCAACAAATGACGACAGACTGAGTGAAAAGCTCATTTCGTATGATTCCACAGAATGTAAATGAGGAAACAGCCTAAGGAAATTAAATAACGTGTTCAAGTTTTCTCAGCTGGGAAAAGGTAGATCTGGTATTTGAACCCAGGTTTGTTTCTACCAGGCTCTGCTGACCCCCATGACACACCAGGAAAATCTAGCCAACTTTATCTTTGTCTCCTGCAAGAATTGTGCCTGGGGCAGGGAGCAGCACAGGACTTCTTACCTGACCCCTGCCCTCAGAGCCCGTGTGGCACAGCGGCAGGAGCTGCAATGAAAGGAGCCCTGCCCCGTGTGTGTGTGTGTGTGTGTGTGTGTGTGTGTGTGTGTGTGTGTGAGGCGGGGGGGAGGGTTAAGAGAGATGCGGTGGGAAGGGTTTTACCACTCCTCTCTGGGCCTAGTTTTTCCCTCTGAGAAATGCAATCTTCTATTGAGAGGGGCTCTGAGGCTTGGGGTGGCAGGCTGGGGGGTGGGGGGACTCACCGGAGACACTTGCAGATTCTTATCCACAAGGGCCTCCTGCAGCACGAAATGCCCAGCGCTCTGTAGCTGCTGTAAGGAAATCACCAGGGTCCCCAGAGACCTGTGGGTGTGGCATGGAGCAGAAGAGTGACCTGGAGAATGGTCCCAAGCCCCCAGCCCCACCCGCATCCTTGACTTCCCAAGACCTGCTCACTCACCTGGAGCTGAACACACGGCTGCAGTTGACCACCTGCACAGACAGACACTCCTCGGCCAGCGGAGCCCCATAGTGTGGCCAGCGGAACAGCTGGGGATAGGAGGAACCTTATGACACCCAAAGTTGGGCTGGTCCTCACCCCCAGTCCAGAGCCTGTACCCAACATTGAAGCAGGAGCCAACCCTCCAAACTTGGAGCCAACCTATGTCTGATCTTTCAAACCTGGAACCTTGTCCCCCCACCTCCCGCCTCCCTCCGAAACATGGGGTTGACTCCAAACTAGGCTGATCTGGGAAAACTTTCAGTCAAAACCCCCCATCTTAATTCTGATTTGTCTCAAGCTGGGTCTGACCTCTCAAGCTTGGGACTGACCCCCACCCCCACCTCCTGAGACTATACCTCTCAAAACCCAGGAATGAACCTCCAACCCCGGGATGGACTTAGATGAGCACAGACCAGCTTTTCCCCATCCAGGACTCAATCTCACCGACCTCATTGATATCTGCTTCTTGGCCACAGTGAATTCTCCTTGTTTTCTGAATAAAACCTGCGCAGAATTGAATTTAGTCATTTACCACCCCTACTCCATGGGAAAAAAGTCACACACACACACACACACACACACACACTCCTTGGCCCAGAGTCCAGTCCCCCTGGACTCACTTTTAAAGAAAGGTAGAAGATAGAGAGGGAAGGAGGCACAGAGTTGGATATTGGGCTAAGGGAGACAGGGTACAGGCTATAGAGATATCTAGGGACGGGTCTGGGGGCCATGGGACTAGAGCTTCCCCGTTCCAAAAATTCTTAGCCTCACCCCGAAAGCTGAGCCTCACTTGTCGGTCATGAGTTCCCGGCAGCCCGGTCAGTCGCCGCACATTCACAGTCAGAGCCATTGTCCCAGGGCCACTGGCTCTGCCTCTACCCTCCTGCCCACCTTCCACACACCTGAATCGCCTCTGAGTCACTGGACTCGCCCAGCAGGTTTCAGCAGTCCCTGCCCTTTAGTCAAACACACAGACAGCAGGCTTGGGGGTCATAGGTGGGGAAGGAGTGGGAGGACTGAGAGAGGGGTGTGAGGTCCCTCTGGTCAGCTCAGTCCTCCCTCTCTGCACCAACTTTAGCCTCCGTCCTGCATTCTTGTGTGGTGGGAGCTGGGACCCGGTGTAGATGGAGGCAAGAGGAGAAGACAGCACCTTAGTTTGGTCCAGCTAGCCTCTGTGGCTTTCAGGGCATGGGACCTCATGTAGTTAGTTCCTCATTCACTTCTCTGTCCTCAATGCCAAGCTCATGCTCTGGTTACATTGTAGACGCTCAAAGCACTGAGGGAGCCTGGCTGGTGTGGCTCAGTGATTGAGCATTGACCCATGCACCAAGAGGTCACTGATTTGATTCCTGGTCAAGGCATATGTCCAGGTGGTGGGCTCAATCTGCAGTAAGGGGTGGGCAGGAGGCAGCCAGTCAATATTTCTCCCTCATTGATGTTTCTCTCTCTCCCTTTTTCTTTCTCTCTAAAAATCAGTACAAATATATTTTAAAAATACTGGCTGAATAAATGGGCAGGTTAATAGATGCACCCTGTAGCCCCCAGCATTAGTACTGTAGGCACTCACACATTTATTGAATTAACAAGTGATTGGATATGTCCTTAGCTTGCACATAACAGGTGTTCAAAAGCATATCTTTTTTAAAAAATATATATATATATATATTATTGATTTTTTACAGAGAGGAAGAGAGAGGGATAGAGAGTTAAAAACATCAATGAGAGAGAAACATTGACCAGCTGCTTCCTGCACACCCCCTTACTGGGGATATGCCACAACCAAGGTACATGCCCTTGACCAGAATTGAACCTGGGACCCTTGAGTCCGCAGGCCACCACTCTAGCCACTGAGCCAAACCAGTTTCGGCTCAAAAGCACTTCTTTTTTTTTTTTTTTTAATATATTTTATTGATTTTTTACATAGAGGAAGGGAGAGAGATAGAGAGCTAGAAACGTCGATGAGAGAGAAACATTGACCAGTTGCCTCTTGCACACCCCCCACTGGGCATGTGCCCACAACCAACGTACATGCCCCTGACCGGAATCGAACCTGGAACCTTTCAGTCTGCAGACCGACGCTCTACCATTGAGCCAAACCGGTTTCGGCTCAAAAGCACTTCTTAACCAGAAGCCAGAGGTCCTTGAGGTTTACTAGTGGGACTATAGATGAGTTCCAGGAAGTCAACAAACTCTTAACATTCTCTGTAAAATATTGAGCATGTGTGCATTTTTCTGGACATAGAATGCCTAGCTTAGGATAATAACCCTTAAACAAGTGTGTAGTACTTTTACTAAATGTACGAAGGAATGTAGACTGAACCAGTGGGTGGCAATAGCTACGTTCTGAGCGTATTCCATGGCCACCCACTGAATCATTCTACTTAACGGCACCTCCTAATGCAGGACTTGTGCTATGACACCCTGAGGGAAAGGGTTTGCAGCCAGAGGTGAATTGGGCATGTTCTCTGTCTTCCAGTAGCTTTGTGGATGCCAACATCAAACACAGCCCAGAAAGACTGCGATCCCCATCAGAACAGAAACGAGTCAGGCTGGGCTGCTTGGAGGAGGGAGGCCAGAGGGGCTTCCTGAGAAGGGAGCATTTAAAGCGGGCGCCGAGGACAGGAGTGGAGCAGAGGTGGACACCCAGGCAGAGCGGAGGAATGCAGGGTGTGTTCCTGGATCTGTGGTCTGTTCAGTTTGGCCTTCGTGTAAGGTAAGTGTTGGACAGCAGCGGCAGATAAGATTAGGCCGTCAGGATCTGGGCCTTGTTGTGTGGCCTTGAGCCAGATAGGGTCCCTCCTTGCTCTTCAGCTTCTCTGCTTCAACAGTGGGGCTAGACAGTCCTGTGCTACCTGTTTCCCAAGTGTTGATGTCAAATATGCTTTGGGTTCTGTAGAACACCAGGCCACAGGCATGGGTTGTTCTGTTTCTAAACAAGATCCAGGTTAGACCTCAGGCCCCAGCTGTTGGGGGAGGCTTTCACCTCCCCTTTTGACAGGTGGGGACACGGAGACCCCCAGAAGGGGAACCAGAATCCTTAGTTTGCAGTGCCCTGGCCTTTCCCTTTCTTCTTCCCCGAGCTCTGTGGCATCTGACCAAGCCAGGTACTGATGCCATTCCGCGGGAACCTAGCCCCCCCATTTCTGGGCTGGAACACAGCTGGCAGCTTTTCTCTCAGCCTCAACCCCTCTAACAACTGCCACTTCCACGTTCTAATATTCCAGAGAAGATGGGATGTAGTGGAAAGAGTACTGGGCTTTGGAATTCTAATCTCTATCACCCACTGTGCGGTTTTAGGAATGTCCTTTCCCCTCTCTGGACCTTTGTGCCTCGCTGTGCAATGTGCACAGGACGCACTGAATTGCTTGCAAAGCATGGTCCTTAATCAGGATCACACACGTGGTCATTAAAAATGCATATTCCTGCCCAGCCAGCATGCCTCAGTAGTTGAGCATAGAACTATATACCAGGAGTTCACATGGTTCGATTCCCAGTCAGGGCCCATGCTCAGGTAGCAGGCTTGATCCCCAGTGAGGGGCATGCAGGAGGCAGTTGATCAATGATTCTCATCATTGATGTTTCTACCTCTCTCTCCCTTCCTCTCTGAAATTAATAAAAAATATCTAAAAAATAAAAATGCACATTCGTGCACCCACTCTAGAGATGCTGAAGTAGAATCTCAAGGTGTACCTGAGAACTCGAATCTCTATGTGCTGCTGCACAGGAGTCTGTGAACCTCAGGTTTCTTGACTTCGGCCATTTGTGACTTCCCCATTCCCTTCTCCTCGACTCAGATGGTTGGTGGGTGGCTACTGAATTTTCACCCCACAGACCCCTAGTGCACATAGGTCTGAGAGAGAGACCCACAGATCCCGTAATGTCAGAGTTCTCAAGGCCTCGTGACTAGGATGAGAGGAGGGGCCTGAAGGGTTTGCAAAGCAAGAGAGACTAAATGATTATTTATTTTTAAAATATATTTTATTAATTTTTTACAAAGAGGAAAGGAGAGGGATAGTTAGAACCGTCTATGAGAGAGAAATATCAATGGGCTGCCTCCTGCACGCCTCTTCCTGGGGATCAAGCCCAAAACACGGGCATGTGCCTTCACCGGAATCGAACCTGGGACCCTTGAGTCCGCAGGCTGACGCTGTATCCACTGAGCCAAACCGATTGGGGCCAAATGATTATTTAGAAGTCCCCCAGGTGACCCCTTGACTTTGCTTAACATTCATTCATTCATAAATATTTGAGAACCTGTTCCATACAGAGGATGTAGAAAAATAGAAATTCCTTTAAGCCGAGCAGGGTGCTCTGGGAAGTGCTGCGGTGTCATGGCTCTGACCTGCCGCGGCCCCCAGTGACGTCTCGATGAGCTCTGTGACGCGGCGCCGGCGTTCCGCGGCCGCGGCCGCGGCTCCTCTGTGACGCCAGCAGGCGGCTCGGGCACACGGAGGGCCGGCCTGGCGCGGGGCCCGCCGGCTGCACGCAGGCTCCGCGGTCCCGGCGCGCGCACCGCGGAGGGCGGCCGAGGGCTTGGCTTTGGCGTCCGGAGGCGGCGGCGCGGAGGCAGGATGCGGCGGGGCCCTCGCCCGGGCTCGGCCGCGTCCCCGCACAAGCAGGCGCCCAACTTCTATAGCGACAACAGCAACAGCTCAGTGAGCACCACCTCGGGGGACAGCAGCGGCCACCGGTCAGCTGGGCCGGGCCCCGGGGAGCCCGAGGGCAGGAGAGCCCAGGGCTCGAGCTGCGGTGAGCCCGCCTTGAGCCCAGGACTGCCCGGAGGAGCACCGCGGAGCCACAGTGCGCCGACCGCCGAGGGCGCGGCAACCCTGAGGGGCGGGGCCTCGGGTGCGGGCGGGGTCGAACCCGGGTAAGCCGAGGGGGGCACGGGGGGCGCTCAGGGCCGGGCTGGGCGCGGAGCCGGGATCACACCCAATCGGGGCGCCTGCTAACGGGCGGGCTTCTGGGGTGCAGAGGGGAGACCCTCAGGCTGTGATGGACCACCCCGGGGAGAGAGGAGGAAACCCTGTGATGGGGTACCGCGGAGGCGTGGCCTCTGGTTAGCAAGAGGGGCTGCCTAGGGGCCCCGAACCGAGACCTAACGCTGGGGGTGGGACCACACGTGGAGGCGGGCCCGAGGGGCGGGCTGCGGGGACCGGAGCCTGAGCGGCCGCCGGGCCTCGGGGCGGGGAACGGCGTCCGGCCTCGGGGGGAGAGACAGCCCGCAGTGCGCACGGCCCAATGGAGCCCGGGGCTCCCGCAGAACCGGCTGGCTCTCCCGTGGTCTCCGAGGAGCAGTTCCACCTTCTCGCGGCCCTGGATCTGAGGCAGGAGATGCAGCCCCCGCGAGTGTTCAAGAGCTTCCTGAGTAGGTGCCCGGCTCGCCCGGATGCCCTCCAACCCCCGCCCACCCGCTCCCCGCCCTGCATTCCAGCTCTGACCCCCGTCCCCAGTCCGCAGCCCCTTCCCTGAGCCTCAATGCACTCTCTGCCCCCGTCCAGTCCTCCCGCCCAGCCCTCTTCGCCGCCGCCCTGCTCTGAGCTGCAGTCCCCTCGCCCTGAGCCCCTCCCTTCTCCTCTCCCAGGCCCACTTTTCCAGGTGCTGAGCGTGTGTGTGTCCCCGCTAGGAGACGTGCTGGTCAGTGTGTACAGGTCAGAGGGAGGAAAGGGGGAGCCCAGGGGCTGCTCTTTAGAGGAGGTGGGAGCGGGCTCAGACCCGGCTGAGTGGTGTTCATAGGAGTGGCTGGATCTAAGAGCCTGGGCTGGGGGAGGAGGGGGTGTTAGGGGGTTCACTGGGGTCCAGGGGCCTCAGCCTCCCTCCGGTTCTTCAGGGAAGTCTGTTCCATTCGCTTCCTGCTCACGGCTGTGTCACTGCTGAGCCTCTTTCTGACAGGTGAGGGGGCGAATTCCCCCGGGGTCCCAGCCCTGGATGCTTTGGAGCCAAACCTTAGCGCATTTTCTCTTACGTCCCTCTGCCCCCTCAGCCCTTCGCAGTCTCCTGCAGAGCCCGGTAGCCCCCCATCAGACTCCAACCCCTCAGCTTCTTCTTCATTGTCCTTTATGCAGAGAAACCCTCTCCCCCTTCCTTCCCCTGAGACCACCCCCCTCTTTCTCCAGCACTCGGGTGGGGTGTCCTGTACCTGGTCCCTCCTTTGGAGAGTGTGAGTCCGGGAACCCGTGCCCGGGGTGGGGGTGGGGGGTGGCAGGCTAGGAAACTGGCGAGTGGGGGGTGTCCCTTGGGCTGCCGGGAGGAGGGGCAGTGCTGGAAGAGCTGGCTATAAATAGGAGATTTCTGAGATTGTGCCCAGAGGCGCTTGAGGGCCTCTGAGGGGTCCTGGAAGGTCAGGGGAGGGGGGGGGGGGCAGTCCTCCAAAGGAAGGGAGGCCCTGTGAGTCTGGCTGCTCTCAGGCTGAAGTGAGACAGGGGAGGTGGGGGGAACTGAGCAGCGCTGTGTGTTGTCCCTCCCTCCCCTAGGAACCTGAGCTGCTGACGATCAGGTGAAAGATGGCACCTGGGGTGTGGAATTGGGGGACTCAGAGTTCGCTCCTGTGGAGGGGCTCACGGGAAGTGTCCCGGGCACAGGGAGCCAACCACCCTGTGCCCACCTCCCGCCTGCAGCGAGTACCACGAGCGCGTGCGCACGCAGGGGCAGCAGCTGCGGCAGCTGCAGGCCGAGCTGGACAGGCTCCACCAGGAGGTGTCCAGCGTCCGCGCAGCCAACAGCGAGGTGAGCCCCGCCGCCGGCCGCTCCGACAGCGGGGCCCGGGGCGCAGAGCTCCCCCTGCTGCACAGCCCCGTCCCGTTCGCTGGGTCCGAACCTTAAAGCCCTGCCCAGAGCCCCAGCTTCGTGATTCCTCTGGGGCCACAAAGTCCCATAGCAGACACCTATGAAATCAGCCCGCAAGCCCCGTCCTCCCTCCTTTCAGAGAGTGGCCAAGCTCGTATTCCAGAGGTTGAATGAGGACTTCGTTCGAAAACCCGACTATGCGCTGAGCTCCGTGGGTAAGACCCATAGTCACTGGGAAACTGAGACAGAAACACGGAAAGACGCAGACGGTGACTTAGACCTAGACACACACCACGGATCCAAGGAGCCCGACCTCAGACGGACCCTGACCCGGCTGTGGGTCCGGCCGGGAGTCTGAGCGGTTGCTTCTCTCCCCTGTCCCAGGAGCCTCCATCGACCTAGAGAAGACATCCCGCGACTACGAGGACCAAAACGGCGCCTACTTCTGGAACCGCTTCAGCTTCTGGAACTACGCGCGGCCCCCCATGGTGATCCTGGAGGTGGGCCTGGGACGCGGTGCGGACGGACGGGGGCGGGAGGCTGGGGAAGGACCCAAAAGCTCCCTGGACCCAGCTGATGCCCGGTGGGGCGGGCCTGGGCGGGGCCCTGCGGGGCCAGGGGGCAGGGCTGAAGGCCGGACCTCGCTTGGCTGAAGCTCCTTTTGCGGAGAAACCTGGCAAGAGGTGGGGGGGAAGGATCTGTTTAAGCAGTTGCTCCGGCTGGAGGTGGAGGACTGAGCCAGGCGAGAGAAGGACAAAGTCGCTCGGTCTGTGGATTCTGATTGAATGAATGTCCTGTCCGATTGCAGCCAGATGTGTTCCCTGGGAATTGCTGGGCTTTTGAGGGCGACCAGGGCCAGGTGGTGATCCGGCTGCCGGGCCGTGTGCAGCTGAGCGACATTACCCTGCAGCATCCTCCTCCCAGTGTGGCACACACCGGGGGGGCCAACAGCGCCCCCCGCGATTTCGCAGTCTATGTGAGTGGGACTGAGGCCAAGGAGGTGGGGGTTTTGCTTAGAAAGCACCAGGCACTCATGAAAAACTGGTGCCGAGTCTTCGCTTGCGCATCTATAAAATAAAAATACCATTTGCCTGTTGGGGCTGCCATAGGTTATAGATAATTACAGCCATACCCAAATACTAATTGTGGTTTAATGAGCACTAACTCTGTGCTTTATCACCTGGCAGTTACACAACTTACATATCCCTTGTACAATGAGAAAAGTGATGCTTAGAAAGGGAGCCTTACTTGCTCAAAGTCACAGGTAACAATTGGCCAGACTACAAATTGCAGCCCCGTTTAAGAGCCCACATTCCCCGCTACACTATCCCACATTCCCCGCTACACTATCCCAACACCAAAGTGTAAATAAGAGCATGCATGCAGCTACTGACACATACCCTGTTTCCCCTAAATAAGACAGTGTCTTATATTTTTTCTCCCAAAGTTGTACTAGGTCTTATTTTCAGGGGATGTCTTATTTTCGGAGGATGTCTTATTTTCGGGAAAACACGGGAGTAGGTCCCCAACGGTTGCTTTCTTCCTCCTCCACCCGTGCCTCACTGTTCCTTCATTCACTCTTCACCCACCAGGGCCTCCAGGTTGATGATGAGACGGAAGTTTTCCTGGGGAAATTCACCTTCGACATGGAGAAATCTGAGATTCAGACTTTTCGCCTACAGGTGTGTTTGTCTCTGAGGTTGAGGGTGCCCAGGGAGTGGGACAGGGAGGGAAGATTGGGGAGGAAGGCAGTCCTTGGCACAACCCATTTGTCTCCCCAGAATGACCCCCCAACTGCCTTTCCCAAGGTGAAGATACAGATTCTAAGCAACTGGGGTCACCCCCACTTCACATGCTTGTATAGAGTCCGAGCCCATGGCATGAGAACCTCGGAGGAAGCGGGAGACAGTGCCACAGGGGGGCCCAATTAAACGTGCTGATTGTTAAAACAGAGTGGAGGTCTGCGCGAAAGACGCTGGAGCAGTGCTGGAGGGTCTGCTGGGAGCTCTGGTTGCCTTTGGCATATAAATACGATAAGGGGTCTACTTCCCATTGCATTCTCTCTTGGAGAAGTCCAAGTTGAAACCGTAGTAGCAGCTCATGTTTTTGGTTGCGTTTCCATGTAGAAGAGATGTTACTTTGGACATTACACACATTCTCTAATCCTCACAACCACAAAGGGGAGACCCCTCAAGGTCACACACCTAGGGAAGAGCAGCATCAGAGGCACAAGCCCACCTGCCTCCAGAGGCCACCCTTTAACTGCAGAGCCGCCAGTCAGCCTGGAGCCGTGCTTGTGAACCTGTTCCCTCTCCCAGCCTCTGGGGAAGCCTCCTTTCCTCAGGCAAACACTCAAAACCTGAGACTTGAGAGCCTCTAGGAAGCATCTAAGTCAATTGATGCAGGCGTGGTAGCCCCTATTCAGGTTATCTTCACTGAGACCTCAATGCCCAACTCAATCCTAGGCGGAGTTCAGATGGTCTAGTGTTCACCAGTCTCTGCCCTCAAGAAGCCTGATGGGAAAGAGAGGATGCTCCAGAAACGGCAATTCATTTACTGATCCTAGAATTCATTAAAAAGGTAGAATGAGAGGAATAAGAGATGGAGACAGTCATCAAAGATTAGAGTTCTACCTAGGCAGAGCAGAAAAGGGTGACAGTATCAGCAAAGACACAGACAGCGTCTTGGCTGTTAAAATCATTCCCTGTGCCTTAACTGGTTTGGCCCAGTGGTTAGAGCATCGTCCTGACAACTGAAAGGTCCCAGGTTCGATTCCGGTCAAGGGCAAGTACCTTGGTTGCAGGCACATCCCCAGTAGGTGTGCAGGAGGCAGCTGGTCCTTGTTTCTCTCCCATCAATGTTTCTAACTCTATCTCTCTCCCTTCTTCTCTGTTAAAAAAAAAAAAAAATCAAAATATACTTGTTTAAAAATTAAAAATGAAACTTCAGCTCTACAAATCACTTTTAAAAAATCCTTCTTTCTGTATTCATGTTTTGGAAGAATATACACACAATTAACAGTGATAACCCTCTAGGAAGTGAAATGGAGAATATATCCATCTGTTAATTTGGGGTGTATTTTGTAATATGAAAACAAAGGGGAAAAAAGGTCCTCTCAAATGGCCTTAAGCCTAAAGTTAGAAATATGAACTCTAATACAGCTTTTCTGGAGGGCAATTTCACAGTAAGGACCAAAAACCTTAAAATTTGTATACTCAGTCACTGCTATTCCATCTTTAAGGATCCAAAGGATACATAGATGTAATCAAAGAAAATACTTGAAAATTATTTTTTTAAATAATTTATTTTTTACAGAGAAGAAGGGAGAGGGATAGAGAGAAACACCGATGACAAACATCAGCTACCTCCTGCACACCCCCTACTGGGGATGTACCTGCAACCAAGGCACTGACACTATCCACTGAGCCAAACCAGCCAGGGCTTAAAAATTATTTTTATTGATTTAGAGAGGAAGGGAGAGGGAAAAGGAGAAACATCAATATGAAAGAGAAACATCAGTTGCCTGCTGCGTGGCACCCTGACCGGGACCAAACCCACAACTTAGGCATGTGCCCTGACCAGAAACAGAACCAGCAGCCTCTCAGAGAACAGGATGATGCCAATCAATTACTGAGTCACAGCAGCCAGGGCCGAAGAAAATACTTTTAAGAATGTTCATCAGCCAAAACGGGTTTGACTCAGTGGATAGAGCGTCGGCCTGCGGACTAAAAGGTCCCGGGTTCGATTCCGGTCAAGGGCATGTATCTTGGTTGCAGGCACATCCCCAGTAGTGGGTGTGCAAGAGGCAGCTGATCAATATTTCTCATCAATGTTTCTAACTCTCTATCCCTCTCTTCCTCTCTGTAAAAAATCAATAAAATATATTAAAAAGAAAAGAAAAAAAAAAACTCAAAAGAGCATCTAAGAAGATAAATCATGCTATAAAAATTATATGTAGCCAATGGAAATGGTAATATAAGGCAATGTTATAGAAAGTAATGATACATGACTAATTTCTTTAAAAGCAAACTAGACTGCCCTGGCCATCCCATGCACCAAAAGGTTGCAGGTTTGATCCCTGGTCAGGGTGAAGGTGGGAGGCAACCAAGCAATATTTCTCTCACATCAATGTTTCCCTCCCTCCTTTCCTCCTCCCCCTAAAATAAATAAATCAAGCATATCCTTGGATGAGGATTAAAAAAAGAAAAAAAAAGAAAAGAGGCAAGCTAGACTGGTATACATAAAAATGTGAACTTCCATGTGAAAAGAGTTCTATAGACCAAAAGATACCATACAATAAACAGTGTCCTGGAAAGAAACGTTTTCAACATGTAAAGAAAGAACTGAATAATTATAGAATAAAGGCCATAAAAACCTATAAATACATGGCTTAGTTGGTTGAGTGTGGTCCAGTGCACCAAAAGGTTGCTGGTTTGTTGCTGGTCAGGGCACATGCCCAGATTGCAGGCTTGATCCCCAATATGGGGCATGCAGGAGGCAGTAGATTGATTGTTCTCTCTCATTGATCTTTTTCTCTCCCTCTCTAAAAATATAAAAAATAAATCAATAAAAATTAATATTAAAAGACTAAAAATACAAACCTATAAATAGGCTATCCATAAGAAATAAAATTCAAGGCCCTGGCCAAACAGAGCCAAATATCAACAGTACAACGATTGAAATTCCTTTTGAGAGCCAACTTTTTAAACTTAAACTTCTTCTAACGTCATTTCTTCAAAACAGACTCGCCCAGGCCGTGATATTTTGTAGAAGAGCCACACTCAAGGGGCCAAAGAGCTGCATGTGGCTCTCGAGCCGCAGTTTGCTGACTATGGGGTTAGAGTGTCATCCTTGTACTCCAAGGTACCAATCGATGTTTCTGTTTCTCTTTCTCCCTCTCTCTCAAATCAATGCATTTAAAGAAAATAAAATTCATAAAAACATGAAATAACTTTTATAACTAAATTCAAACTAAATTATTTTATTTTTATTTATTTATTTTTTTAAAAATATATTTTATTGATTTTTCACAGAGAGGAAGAGAGAGATAGAGAGTTAGAAACATCGATGAAAGAGTATCATCCATCAGCTGCCTCTTGCACACCCCCTACTGGGGATGTGCCTGCAACCAAGGTACATGCCCTTGACCGGAATCGAACCCGGGACCTCTCAGTCCGCAGGCCGACGTCCTATCCACTGAGCCAAACCGGTCCCGGCTAAATTATTTTATTTTATATTATTATTGCCTGTCAGATTAACAGAAGGGGTAAAAACTTGCTATTGAGGCAATTTACAACATTAAAAATTTAAAGAAATGTTTTTATTGGTATTTTAGAGAGAAGGGAGAGGGAGAGGGACAGAAACATTAACGAGAGAAACATCACCAATGGGCTGCCTCCTACATGCGCTCCACAGGGGACTGAGCCCGCAACCCAAAACTGTGCCCCGTCTGGGAACTGAACCTGTGGCCTCCTGGCTCCTGGTTGATGCTCAACTGCTGAGCCACACTGGCCAGGCACAATATTTAATTTTTAAATATACTGACTTAACATTTCCATTTCAAGGAACAAAGCCTTCAGAACACCCCTGTATATGCTGTTAAAAAATTCGGGCTTGTGGCCTACTCCCTCCCCAGGAGATACAGCATAGCCCTTGCTCCATCTTAAAGCCCATCCCTGCCCTAATCCTTTCCACCTTGTCCTGCGTCCCCAGCTCAGTTCCGCTCTGAGGCAGGGCAGGCTGGGTATTTGGTTTACATTCAATTTTGTATTTTCAAAAATAGAGTCAATGGCCCTAGATATCTAGCTAGGAAGACACTATTAGGTCTAGTAATAATTAATGTCGTTTCCTAATACTTTAAATCAAATTTATTTAAACAATACAACAAAATTTAATCAACAATATAGTTGCCGTTGTTTTCTACTACTTGTGCCCAACGCTCAGGAAGCATTTTAATCCCTCTGTTGTAAAATTCTTGTGATTTTGATGCCAAAAATTCGGTCAATGCATTTTTGAGGCATTCTTCATTATTAAATTTTTTTCCAAGAAGAAAGTTTTGCAAAGAACGAAACAAACGGTAATCGGAAGGGGCAATATCAGGAGAATATGCAGGTTGAGGGAGAACTTCCCATTCCAACTGGCGCAGTTTTTCAGCAGTGATTCTTGCAGTATGCGGTCGTGCGTTATCGTGGTGAAGAATTACACCCTTCCGATTAATCAGCGCAGGTTCTTTTTCTCTTAAAGCTTGGGCTAACCTTTCCAATTGGGCACTATACACTGCACTTGTAATGGTTTGGGTAGATGGTAAAAGTTCATAATGAAGAATTCCTTTAAAATTCCACCAAACACACATCATCACTTTTTTCGCATGCAAGTCAGGTTTTGGCGTGGGCTGCGGAGCCTCATTTTTGTCCAACCATTGAGGCCGCCTTTTCAAATTAACATACAGCACCCATTCTTCATCTCCGGTAACAATTTGCTCTAAAAACGGCAAACGGTTTTGACGAGAGAGGAGCAAACTGCAAATTGTGACTCTTTGATTACGGTTGTTGTCGGTCAACTCATGAGGAACCCATTTTCCAAACTTTTGGATTTTGCCAAGTGCACGCAATTGATTGGAAATTGTTTTTTGTGAACAATTTAAAGTTGTCACAAGCTCTTGTTGGGTAATTTGAGGATTTTGCACCAAAAGAGCTTGAAGAGCTTCTTGATCAAAATTGGACACACGGCCTCGACCACTCTTGTCATCTAACGAAAAATTTCCCTCGCGAAATTTCTCAAACCAATGCTGGCATTTTCTGGCGCTAACTGCATCTTGACCAAGAGCACTACAGATGTTTTTTGCAGCCTCACTTGCTTTTCTTCCTAATTGGAACTCGTAAAGCATGCAGTGCCGAATATGCTCTTCATCTGCCATCTTCTTAGCCCTAGTTTTGCAACAAAAACCAAATCAAACACAAAGTTTTTCAAGCAAAACTTGTTAATTGCACTTCACACGTTCTGTAGATACCACGTGTTTGAAGGTTATGTCAACACAAGTCAACGCCAAGCAAGATTTTAAACAAATGTTTAAAAACGACATTAATTATTACTAGACCCGATATTTCTTTGAGTGAGGCTATTAAGAGGCACCCTTCATTCAATCCGTAAAGTCAACAAACAGGCTCAGAGAGAAGCAAACATGGCTAATAGCAGATTCCCACCCAAAAACACACAGAGTGGTTGACAAAGCAGTGGTCATCATTGGTCTTTATTGAATGAGGGGCCCCAGGGGCAAAAAGGTACAATCAGGAGCAGCAATAGCAGGAGCAAATATAAAAGTATAAAATATAAAGTGCTAGCACTGGGCAGTGTGTGCAGGGGTAGGCACTGGTACAGATGGCCCTTGGGGACACAGGGCTGAGGACCAGCCACAACCTACCCTCCAGGAGAATCTAGGGCTGAGGGGCCTGTGCGGGGCTCTTGGCTGGGAGTGGAAGCGGCTTGCATGGGGCCCAACCTTGGGCCTTGAAGTAGGAGACCAGTTGTCCGGGTACTTCTGCAAGCACAGTCTGTGCCAATGCCTCCCGAGGAGCCTGCCAGAGAAGAGGGGCAAGGTCAGTGGGGGCCCATAACAGCTTCCCAAGGCCTAAATATTATACCCACGAAGGCATAGAAAACCCAACACCCAACCCTGCCCCAGACTTAGAGGAGAGGGTATCTCTAACCTCGTCCATCAAGGAGAGGTAGAGGGTCCACTCCCAGACCTGGCCTGTCCCCCAGCTTGCCCCACTCACGTTCTGAAAGCGGCGGTAAGGCACAAACTGCACTATGTCACGGGCAGCTCCCTCCCCGGAACGTGTCCGCAGGGGCCCACCGTCAGCATCCAGCTGCTCCATGGCCTCGAAGTCAGCACCGCCCACGCCCACAATGATCACTGACATGGGCAGGTGAGAGGCACGAACGACAGCCTCGCGTGTGGCCTCCACGTCAGTCACGGCACCGTCAGTTAGCAGCAGCAGCACGAAGTATTGCTGGGGACAAATGGGTTCATACAGTGAGTCAGGCCTTTTAAACCCCAGCCACACTTTCCCACACTGACAAGAGCCCTAAAGGGAGCCACTGACCGAGACCATCCCACCACCACCACCACTAACTCCCACAGCTCTCACCGAGGCAGTCCTCTGCTGTGCAGCCTGAGCTGCAAACCTGGCTACGTGGTTGATGATGGGTGCAAAATTGGTGGGGCCGTAGAGGCGAACTTGGGGCAGGGCTAGACGATAGGCTTCCACAATACCCTGGATACCTAGAGTAGAAGGCAAAAAAAACACTATAAAATACCAGCCCACTCGGGACTGAGCCAGTCCTGACATCACCCCATCCTGGGTGAGAAAGTCTGGGAACCTGGTGCATTTCATTCAATTACCCTGGTAACCCAAGGTACGTAACCTCATCCTACCGATGGGGAAAGTAAGGCCAAAGACAGGACACCTGCCCTATCTCAGAGCTAGAATTAAAACCCAGATCAGGGGAATACCCTGAGAAATCCAAGGCAGTTGAGCATCAAATTAAAATTCATAACATAATGAATTACAATCCATTTAATAAAATAATAAATAATGAGAGAGAAGGGAAAGCTCTTAATAAAAGTAGAAAGATTACAAAATAATTTGACAGAGATAACTGATTCAGGTAAGGATCATCAATGGATGCTACAACTAGAAGGGGTAAAAGATGAGTAATTAGATATTTGTATAAAAAGATACTTATTCATTACAAAGAGAAAAACAGTACTTGCATAGCAGGGAAACCTAGCAGGCTCTACCGTAACCAAGTGATCATGTTAACTTGGCTGGTGATTGGCTAACTCAACAGCATGTGCCTCCTGGTGTGGTGCACCAAGAGAGCACAGCATCACTTCTGCAGTGCTCCCACCAAAAATGCATAGTCTGAATCTCACAATGAAAAATATCAGGTAACCCCAAACTAGAGGCATTCTACAAATTATCTAGCCTGTAATTTTTTTTTTTTAAGAAATAAATTTTATTGATTTTTTACAGAGAGGAATAGAGAGTTAGAAACATTGATGAGAGAGAATTATGAGAGAGAATTACCAATCAGCTGCCTCTTGCACACCCCCTACTGGGGATGTGCCCGCAACCAAGGTACATGCCCTTGACCAGAATCGAACCCGGAACCTTTCAGTCCACAGGCCGACGCTCTATCCACTGAGCCAAACCGGTTTCAGCTAGCCTGTAATCTTAAACAATGTCAGTATCATGCAAAGCATGAACTCAAGAAGACAAAACAATTGAATGCAACATGTGACCTTTTACTGTAAAAGACAGGACAACTGAAGAGAGAAAAAAATAAAAAAAAGAAGAAAAAATAAAAAAAAGACAGGAAAATTGGCTAAGTTTGAATAAATTCTATAGATACACATTCCGAAGTATTCAGGGATAAAGGGCCATGAGCATGATTTTTTTTTACCAATTTACTACAATTCTCAAACATCCAGAAAAAAAAAAAAGAGTGTGTGTGTGTGATATATATATATATATATATCGAGAGAGAGAGGAGAGAATTTGAGTTGGAGAATCTGGGTAAAGATAAACAACAGTCCCTGTGACCCAGACCCTGATCCCTGAGCTCCAATGATGTGAACCCCCTATAAATATTCTTAAAACTTTTCTATAAGTCTGAACTCATTTAAAAAAAAAAAAAAAAGACAATTAGGTAGTTTCCACTTTGGTTTGTTGCCCATGAAGAGCAGCTGAGGCCCTAGTCAGTTTGACTTAGTGGATAGAGCGTCAGCCTGTGGACTGAAGGGTCCCAGGTTCGATTCTGGTCAAGGGCTCATTCCTGGATTACAGGCTCAATCCCTAGTGGGAGGGCATGCAGGAGGCAGCCAATCAATAATTCTCTCTCATTGATATTTCTACCTCTCCCTTCCTCTCTGAAATCAATAAAAATATGTGTGTTTTTTTAAAAAGAGCAGTTGGGGAGCCACAAGGTTTGGCCCTTTTTAGACAAAAGAGTTGCTGCCTTTTTTCTAGGCAGAGTATACTTATAACAACCACCACTTTTTTTAGAGAGCACTTCTTATGTACCAGGCTTATTGCTTCAAACTTTACACACATCTTCTCCTTAAATATTCAATATCCCACAATAGTGTAATCCTACAGCACACGGATGCTAAGCAAATGGCCCCCAAACACATGGTTAGTAAGTGGCAGGATGAAGGTTTGACTCCAGAGGCCTCTCTCTAAAATCCATTCTTTGGGACAGTGGAGTCACTCTCTCTTGCCACCACAGGCTTGGCCCTCTGGCTGTGATCAGATCTGCCTTATTCATTAACAAAGAGAAATGGGGTCTTACCTGAGCAGTAGGGGTTGCTGGGGTTGAAGTTCAAGGCAAATTCATGGGAGACCTGAGGGCAAGAATTAAAATGAGCTCTTCCCCCTAAGATTACTTTTTTATTCAGCAAAAGGGCATCATGGTATGTCCCAAGCATCAAATAGGAGCTATTTAGCCCTGAGCACTTGCTGCACACATGCCTGCAGGACTGTAATCATGCAGAAAGCTGGGTGCCAGACAGCAAGTGCACTGCATCCCCCAAAATCATGACCCTGAAATGGAAAACACAAGTATGATGGGGGAAGAGTACTCACCTGCCAGTCAGGAGGCACCTGGGCCCCAAATCCGAATGCGGGGAACATCTTGTCCCTGGAGGACAGTGAATTGGGGAAGAGGCAGTGAGGACACCGGCAGCCTGGGGACTGAGGCATCTGCAGGGAGGAGGATGGGCAAGAGCAGCAGCTACTCACGCGTCATAGTCCTGGACCACGCAGCCCACGCTCCACAGCGCCGTCAAGTACTCGTTGACCCCTGTTGGGCTCAGGTAGTGCAGGGAGTCAGGTGAAGAGGGGTCCCCGTTGGAGCCGGTAAAGTCCACGCCCACCTAGGAGGATAGGAGGGGGAAGCTGAAGCCATCTTAAGGCCCAGATGGGTTCTCTTGCTCCTGGCAAAGCAACTTACAGTGAAGTTGATTTGACAGCCTCCCATCACATAGTCCAGGAATGAATACTCCGTTTCCACCTGCAGGTGAAACCAGGGTCAGGACTGAGGTCAAGGGGTTGGGGCCATGGGGCTCAGGGGTCAGAGCCTGGGTCTCATGGGTTATTAGTCTCACCTGGCAAATCTTGACACGGATAATCCCAGAGTTCTTGTAGCTTTTCTTTTTCTGCTGTTTCTCAGGGTGGATGCATTCAAGTTCCATCTGGTGAGGAAAGAAAAATTAGGGTAGGAAACTCAGAGCATCAGCCAGAACGGAATGAAGGTGCCTGCCCCCTCTCCTCTTCTACCCGGAGCAGGGCCAGCACTCACCGGGGCTGCTTGCATCTGGGCCAAGCTGGTGTGGCAGGTGCCGATGAGATCATGCGAACCATCACTGTCATAGTCTGAGCATCGCACCTGGGGGGGAGTGTGTATGTGAAGAACAGGAGGCAGGTGCCGGGTGAGAATAAATCCCCCGGACTCTGCCCCCGTTCAGTAACTCAAGAGGCAGCTCCTCACCTGAATCTGTGTGCTGGGGTCCCCCCCACAGAAGTGCTGAAGGGGGACAGAGAAGCGCTTCCATGTGGGGTTCAGGTTGTTCTTGATTACCTGCAGCGAAGGAAGGGCAAGGCCCGCAGTGACCGTGGGACTGTGTGGGAGCTGCCTCCCTTCTGCTAACCAAACGCAGCCGCCTCTTTCTCCCTGTGTCCCAAACCTTGGTAGTCATAAGCCCCAGGAGATTCCCTTACCCCACCCGTCGCACCCAATCCCAGGGTTCTCACACCTCAGATCTGTATGTCAGGTGCCATTTCCCGTCACCCTGGCGGAAGAACTCCAAGAATGGATCTGATTTGCCCAGGAAGTCCTGTCAGTGCCACAGAGACCTGTTGTAAGATTCAGGGAGAAACCACCACTATGCCAGACCTCTGTCCCCACCTCAGCCCCCATCACACCACACCAGCCTCCTTAATTCTTGGGGAGGAGAACACCCCCGGCACCCCCTTCCACACACACCTTCTTATCTAGGTTTCTGGCCTCCACCTCCATGGTTACAACACGACTATCCTTCAACTCCTGAGCTGAGACCTAGGTAAGGGAGGGAGGAGATGGTATCACTTCGTAAATTCCTCATTAATGTAAAATCTCCGACACCCCCCTTACGACACCCCCCTTACGGAGTTCTTTCTTACAGTGATGGTCCCCTGCCCAGCAGGCTTTCCAGGCTTCAGCATCAAGGGGAGAGTTAGTATCTGGCTGGACACAATCTAGGGCACAGTAGGGAGGAGGAAGTGGTCAAGATCTTAGGCAGCAAGAAAAAAAAAAAAAATCTCAGGCTGAGTTAAGTCCTGCTTGACCCCCACCCTCCATGTCCCAAGCTGTCTGGGTTGTCTGACAGGGATCTTACCAAACCTGTGCCATCCCTGGCTCCACGTACCTGTCCCAGGGAACACTCAGCCCCTCCTAGGAAGTCATCATCTCCCAGCTCAGGTGTCTTGTTGTCTATGTCATAGATGCCAAACCGGAGCTTCTGGACTGTTTCAAAGTGGTACTCAAGCTGCAGAGTTTTGGAGAACTCAGGGCTCGAGCAGTTCCGTACTCGCTCAGTCCGGCCGAGCTGTGGGCAGAGGCCAATAGCATCACAGTCACATACCTTCTGCCCTTAAACAACCCTAGGTGCCCTCCACAACCCTAACCCGCATGGTCCCCCTCACCTCAGCCCAGCTGCCCCCTCCCACATCCTGTAAAAGGACGCAGAGCGGGTCAGACTTGGAGCCAATGTCCTTGTCGATGAGGTGGTCACAGGAAATGGACAGCTGAACCAAGGTCACACAGCGGGCCATCTAGGGAAAAAGGACCAGAGTCAAACACCAAGGGTATGTCTCAGCTTGGGAAGGCAAGAAGACTACACCAGGCAGGCTGAGCAGTGTCCGCCCCCAAGACATCCTCACATCAATACCGTATTTTCCAGCGTATAAAACGACACCCTAATTTTACAGTTAAAACATAGGTTTAGGCCTATATTCGCTGTATAAGATTACCCCCCACTTCAAAGAAAAGACTTACTTTGCCATCAAGATCTGTAGGTAATTTTTGTGTAATTTTGGTCTTTTGCCCCCGATTTTCGGTTGACTTTTTTTTGTTTCAAAAGTCGTCTTATACGCTGGAAAATATGGGATAAGCCATTCTTAATACAGCAACCACGGGGTCCTGTTAAAACGTAAGTCGGGTCATGTCACACCTAGGCCCAAACCCGCCAATGACTTCCCACTGCTTAGGAAAAAATCCAACTCTACCAGAGCCTACAAGGTCTTAAATGATTTGGATTTTTCTAACCTGATCTCCTACTACCTTATCTCTTGCTCACTACATTCTGGCCACACAGATCTGCTTGTTTGGCATTTCTCAAAAAAGCTTATTTCTAAACTTTAAAGCATGGAATGTTCTGAACCTCATATCCACATGGCTTGCTGTTCCCTCATCTCTCCAGGTTTTTTATTCAAAATCATCTTATGGAGGAAAGGGCTCTTTGTAATAGACATATTAAAATTTTAACCCCACTGTCACCGGCACATCCCAAAGCTCTTTCTTGTGTTTACTCTTTAGTATTTATTGCTTTGTAATATCTATATAAACTTACATAATTTGTCTTTCCCATTAGAATGAAAACTCTGTGAAGGGATATTTCTCTCTTCTGTTCACTGCTCTATCCCAAACACCTAGACAAGAAATATTTATTGAATGAAATCCAATAGGTCCCAGCCCAGCCATCTCCAAGTTGGCAATCAAATACCACCAAACTTCTCTAATTCATCCACTTCCTCTTCTGGAAACACTATCTTCTTGCATGAGCCACCATGATTCATTCCCATGTAACCCCCCTTCTACAGTTACCATAACAATTATCCTCAGACCCTTCATTATCCTTGTGTTCCCCCTGACCCACACACCTGCAGACCACCAGAGGTGCAAATAAGGTCAGATTCCCTCCCTTCTTTCAGCTTAACATTCAGCATTCCAGGTTTCTCAGCACCATGCCCCAGGATGCCTCCAGTCCCAGCCTCCTTTAAACGCCCTCAGTCAATCCTTCCCCCAACCCAGCACAGTTAGTGCTGTTCCTATCTTGGTACTTCATGATCTCCATCTTGAATGCCATCAACCAAAGTTGGAATAATTCTTAGAGTACAATTTGCTTCACATACTGCCTCTCCACAGCACCTCAGCCTCCATTTGGATGCATCCAATGGTAAAAAAACCACTTCTTACAATCCATTCATCAGAAAGCCCTGCTCCATAAAGTCCTACCCAAACCAAGCCAAGTCTGTTGAATTCTCACTTCTACACATTAGTCCTATTTCCTACCCAGTCTAAATTCCACAGAAAAGCCTTATTCCATTTCACTCTGAGAAACCATGATACCTAGAAACATGCAACTCCCTGCTAAAATCTGAGAAACAGCCCTTGCTCTTTTGAATATTGCCCCTAGAATGTGGCTTATGGACTTCCGGCCAGCCTCATCAGCCCCATGAAGGTTCCCAAAGGCCAGATCCAGAGCAGAACACATAAACCGAGGGAGCCCAATGTTTCCTCAAGTCACAATCTGACTCCTGCTTCTTACCTCACATATTCTCTGAAGAAATGTTTGCACAGTATAGAAACAAATGAAGAATACTCATTTCACTTGCTGAGAACAGTGAAAAATCTGAAACAGCGTATTGGGTAGTGACTAATTATGGGACATTCAAACAATAGATTCTGAGTAGCAGGTACAAATTACTAAGGCAGAACTATAATACTGGTATTTAATGGTAAGAAAAGTATGACTTCATTTTAAACTTCAATTGTGTGTATATACAATAGAATAGAATATTTGCATAAAATACACACACTAGGAAAAATGGAAGGGACACCAAATAAACGCAACTTTTATGTACACCTCAGAGGACTGGAATGAAGGTGAGACTTCGATACACTCTATACATTTCTCTACTGTTTCAAGATTTTATACTACTTATTTTGTATTTGTTAAAGGGCCTCATTAGCATTTTCTCTCAATCAACACCTGAAGTTCAATTGAATATTCAATCTAAGCCTAAAGCCTCTGCCCCCAATGTAACAACCCCTACCTTTTAGGTTGTCTCTTGCCTCTTCCCTGATTTTTCCTCCTTAGCACTGCCTCACTTGGTCATATTGATGCCAGCTTTCAGAGTCTCTACCCTACTAGAAGCTCTTACAGCTGCTTATGGCCCTGAGATTCAGAGCCAAAGTCCCCAGAGGACAATCTACACAGAATCAGTAGTTGTATAATGTGGTGATTCTGTGTCCCCAATTTAACCTTCAAAGCCTTTCCCAGACTGTTCTATCTCCTGCTGTTTCACCACCCACACAACTAGTCATCAAAGCAATTTCTGGTTCCTCAAACATACATGC